TAACCCTAACCCTAACCCTAACCCCTAACCCTAACCCTAACCCTAAAGTCCCAGTTCCCCATTCGAAAAAAAGTCTCTCGTTATGGCAGACTTGATAGGATTTTCAAAAGATCCACAAGTCTGCTTTGACCTGCATCGTTGACCAGATCTTGGAAGGAAACTTTTGGCAATACCTCTAGCAAATATGTGAGTCTCAATCACAAAGCCTCGCCCCTTTCAGTGTCTCCTGAAATGTCATCGCCGGAGTCGAAGCTCCGGGAGATATCTCGCTTCAAGCGGACGACGGGATCGCATGTCCTACAAACGCTATATCGTACGCATAGCCTCAATTTCAACCTCCTTTTCGTCTGCGAAGCGGCGTGCTAGGCACATCTCATCAAAAATTTCCAATCTTCTTGACCTTGTCTCACGAGCTTTAGCACGAAGCTGAAGAACGGTTTTGGTAAGAAATGCAATCTTTGTGCCCACGGGGAGTTTCCCCTTCCCTATCAGTCCGTTTGCTTGCTTTGAGTCTTAGTGACCCAGCGGCAAACAAGGGTGGACTTAAAGGCAGATTAGCCCCTTCATTGCTAGGAGCACTCCATGTCCTTCTCTATACCTCATACTCAGACTTATACCCATGGAATTGACTTTCATGTGAAAATCTGCTTTGGTGCGACGCCACTAGCCCCTTTCGTATCAAATTCACTCGAAGATTTGTCATGAGATCCGCGCGCTGAACATAAATGGACTTCTGACAAGCTTGACCTTCCTCCACAAGACAACAACACTCTGACCCTAAACATCATGGGGAACAAAGTCAGAAAGCCTCCGGTGAGAGCTCCTCGCCCAAAGAAAACCAAAAGCTCATCAGCTATCCACGACGCCCTCATCCGCGCACCAGCATCAACAACCGCAGCGGAACCTGAGGATCTCGCACATGTCAAGAATCAGATTCTCTGGCAAGCTGGCAACCAAAGCGTTGCGGAAGCCCACGAGTTCGTGAGCAAACAGATGCACAACGACAACAGCAGAGACGTGGATTTCATCACGAAAGGAATTGGGAAGCTGGACTTTGCGCGCCAAAACGAATTCAAAGTCACCAAGAATGCACCGTCATCAAGCCGCCTCGACTGGTTCTTCAAGAGCCCAGAACAACTCGCTAAGCGAGAGGCGAGGAGRGATAAGGCGAAGAAAATGGAGGCCGAGAAGCTCGCGAAGCGATGAACGGCATAAGCGAAGCGGACGAGGATGGAGGTTGAGCAGGGCGAGATGGTGAGAAGCGTGCCATGAATACCCCGCCGACACAACTGAAGAAACTACAAGGTAKGGACAGGATGCAATGAGCGAACAGCAGGAGGATTTCAAACTGAACCGAGGATTGATGGGAACGGAGGGCAGATGTGCGCGCAAATGGGGATCAGATACCATTAAATGGGTACGACTTACTTTGAGGCGGATCGAGTTGCATTACCTACATATTTTATTGCTCATTCAAAGAATGTGATTCTTTATAGCCTCACATCTTCAAATTGAACGTGAACGTACCCCTTTCTACTGATTCTCAAACGCTGTAGCTCGGTGCCTACTTGAATGCTCGCTCTGCTATTATCACCAGCTCCGTAGACGTCTCCATGAAGTCTGACCATTTCTCCGCGCGTCTGTTTACGGCACGGATGACCCGAAGTGATACCAGGTTCCCATGCGAACGCAGCCAAGCATCATCTGAGCAGTATAAATTCCTCTTCTCTTCCAGACTTAACTCTCCGAAAGCATCAGCCATCCACCACCATGGATCTCGACGCTACCGGCCTCCGAGCAGGTCTGCAGAAGCTTCCACAGGAAATCTTCGATCAGATCTACACTTTGACCTTCACCGCACCACCTGGTATCCGTGATCTCGCGAACCCAAGTGAGACGCGTGGTCGTTACCCATCAGACACAATCCCACAAGATGTCGCCCCAACCAGCATCGACTTCGGCACCAATCTTCTCCACGTCTCTCGCGCCTCGCGCGCCAAGTACGCCTCGACCTACTACGGTTTGGGCGACTTCCGTTTCGACTACCCAATTCATCAGTGGCACCGTCGCTGCGTGGACGAGACCGGGGAGAGGATTCTTGTGTGGACTCGTCTCGTACCGGTGGAATTCGAGCATCTGATCAACAGCATCAGCGTCCAGGGAGTTGCCATCAAGCGTCCAGACCGCAATGTCCCACGCAAGCATACGGTCTGGTACGACATCCAGAAGGCACTGCGTGACTCTTTGAGGAGTACCTATGGTCACTGTTTGCTTGGAAGGGGAAACTAAAAGGCATGAAATGACAGGTGAGCAAACACGACCTCTCTCAACACAAAGCGTCATTGTTGAAATGGCTACTAGTCACGCGCGAAGGATACGGTTGCTTGAAGGCATTRGCGATAAATGATGGAGGGATGTAATTGTACTTGTCGCCGCCTTTCGGGACACGTTCGCAGACTACACCACTACACTGCCTAGCGATGTCTAGAATAAATCACAATCAATTCTTCTCTTCTCAACACTCGTGCATTCTAAGCAGCTCTGCTTGTAATTCATCCTCTTCTACGAAGGATCTTGACTGTATCGCTTCTAGGTAATCCTGCCTATGATGTTGTAGAGAGCTTTCCCCTTTCACGACTCCTTTTCYCACTTATATACTCTCTCTCTTGTTCATTATAACCCCGAATCTCTCTCGTTCATCATCACAGTGAATTGCCGTGATAATTTCATTGATGTCTCTCTTGCAGGATCCCCCTTTTTTCATGTGACTGCCCAGCCTACGTCATACTTCATCTCGGGATCGCCCAACAAACTTCGAATTCCTGGATGGATTTCAATTGATCGCCCAGCGAAGCCATTTCTGAAGCCATTTCTAACCTGTTGTAGCCGAAATATCATCTCAGCTTAGCGCGGGATACTTCCATCTCATTCTACATCACCCAAGATCCGCAAACATCAACATCCCAGCCAAGATGGACGCGGAAGTTGAGGCTCTCCGACATGGGCTCGCAAAGATCCCGCAAGAGCTCTACGACGAAATCTACAATCTCGTCTTCACTGCCCCTCCTGGCATCCGGGACCTCTCGGCCGACTCGCTTGCCATCGGCGGCCAGCAGTCGGCAGCGCCCTCCACCCGCAAATACCGCGCCGCTCTCTCCACCACCAATCTGCTTCAAGTTTCACGATCCACTCGCGAGCTGTACGCGTCCACCTACTACGGCGAGGGTGAGTTTCTCTTCAGCCACAAGAAGCCAGACATGTTCAGCCACACGAACTCAGACAACAGAATTTGTGAGAAAAATATGCGAAGAATGGTCGCCTGGGCTATCTCCCTTCCCGAAAAACATCAGCGACTTGTCAAGAAGATACACTTCCGGGTGGAGATCTTCGATTCCGAATACGAGTATAGTAGGGGCCCATTCCAGTCGTGGTTTAGGAAAATGAAGTGGTTGATTCTATCAAACCTCATTGTACACTGCGCTGGGCTCAACCACAGACAAGTTTGTTCCTTTCACTATGGCTCGGTCACCCATGGAAGCGGTAAGACATCTAATGCTCCGTCTTCAAAGCAAGATCTCTAGATGTCGAGAATCTACTAACACAATTGCAGAGGTCACTTTCTGATCGCACGGCCCGAATACCTCATTAAGTTGAAGATTAGACGCTGTCATGGTCAAAACAGGAAGGGCGAACAGAGGATCACCGCCTATCGGAAGTCAATACTTCACTAAAGATGGCATTGAGCGCAGAATGATCGGTGTTAAGGTGTTGAAATCAGTGCGGGAGACCTGCTACCATAATGAGGCACAGCGTCGGGGTTTGATCCAACAGCGATGCATGGTCTCAAGCTTTTATAATCTTCGACAATGAAACAGCACCAAAGCAGTCATCACTCATAGCCTATGTACTTGAAACTTCTTTCTAACATATGAAGAGTCCACTCCAACAGCAACCCACGTAAGCCCACATTACTGCCGCGCTGCAGACTGCATTCCCTCTCCGTTAACCTCTCTATGCCTTACACAAATCCTCGAGCTTCAACTCCCAGTTTTTGTTTCCAGTCTCAGATCAGGTGATTCAATCCTCACTATCCCACTTCTACCACGTTCCCTGTCCGCCGCTGGTCATCCTTCGACCAATATTCTTCWTGTGATTGTCCAGCAAACAAACCCCAAAAACGTCATCGCCGACCCTCACCAATCCAAACTTCATTCTTCACCACTCAAGTTCCATCATCTTCTCTACCTCCTCATCAACACAACAACAACCATGGAGCGCGACGTGGACAGCATCCGCCGCGGGTTAGCCACCATTCCGCAAGAGATCTATGATCAAATCTACACCGCGGTGTTCACCGCCCCGCGAGGCATTCGCGACATGTCCTCACCTTGCGACAAGCCCGCCACCGCGGCCTCCGTCAAGTCCGACTACCAACTCCTCCATGTCTCCCGATCAACGCGTGCACTCTATGCAAGCACCTACTACACGAGCGAGTTTCTCTTTCCCTTTCGGATCAGGGATCCTGGCATCTTCGGAATCTCAAAAGCCATGATCTTTTGGGCTCAACTCCTGCCAAAGGAACATCAGCTGCTCATCAACAAGATCACTGTTCGGATCGAGGTGCCCATTTTGAACGACCTCACGATCGGCCGAGTGATAAAAGCGGAGGCGAAAGAAACGCTCCGCCGTCAGCTGGACTCTAACATCGCGGACAAGGTGGAAGTTGAGATTTTGACACTTGCAGAAAGGACATCCAAAATCGAACGTGCCACGTACTATTTCTTCGCGTTAGATGAAGAGTTGTGAACGGTTGAATGCACTCCCGCGGCGATTCCGACATCGAGCTGAGCGCGGAACATCAGGCGGCAAACAGACAGGGCTTGTCACGAAGCTGAGCGGCACCCAGACACGGACTTCCGCAAACTAGGCATCAAGCATCAAGGCAGTTTGAAGGATAACCCCATGGAAGTCAAGGCAGGAAGTGAAACAGTGCTACAAAGCGAGGCAGCATCAAGACCTTCTCGCTACCCAGCCCTTGTCAACGATGGGAGTCGACTACTCTGAGGTGAGGAGGGAAGCAATGAGCAACAGTGAGCAATGGAAGTCTCTCGGACAGAAAAGCGGTACACAGGCAAGCCATACCAAAAGCTTCCAGATCACCACCTTCCTCAAACAAGCAGCATAACATCCCACATTCTTTCCTCTTGTAGTTCCATGCAGCTCTCTCCGTCATCGACAAGCCCTCCTTGCGCATGTCGTCGATATCGAGGAGCTTCGTCTTGCGGACCCTCTCTTCAGTCTGGCGAATGCATCTTCTTTCGCTTGCTCAATGAAAATCAATGAATTCGCACGAATACAGTCATGACATGCTCACATACCCACAGATTAGCACAAACAACCCAAAGAAAGCCCTTCCCTCCCAATCAACCCCAACGCCATGAACAACTTCATCCCATCCATCAAATCCCCACCCCAGCAATCCCACTCGCGCCCTCCCCAACCCCGCGATATTCAGGATCAACTTTACTCTGTTTAAACAAACTCTTCCCCCGTAACCACTGCCGATAAGCCTTGTATCTCTTCTTCCCCAGATCCGCCTCCTGCACACTCAATCCTTCGCTGCCCACCTCCAAGTAATCCATGTAATCCTGCAGATCCTCCTCTCCGACCTCCTCGCCATCGAAATCTCCATCTTCAATCCTCACTGCTGCAGCCGCGTCACCTTCCTCCCCAAGAGCATCGAAGAAGCTGGTGCCGCCGGCTTTGGAGACGTAATCGACATAGTCTGCATTGGCGTCATTGGGGAGCTCGGTCGTGATGACCAGCGGGAGGTTCAAAGGATGATCAATGTAATGAGCATACTCATCCCTCTCCTCCTCACTGACATGCGGATGTAGGGATTGCGTATGAAACTGATTCAGTGTCCACAAATGCATCACAGCTTTGTCCGCAGGTTTGACTTGATTCGTCTCTGCGAAACCGACCGCATCTTTCGGTTCGCTATCTCGCTGAGGCGCATGCTGTTCGTAGATTGTGTCTCGCAGGATGCTGTGATGTGTCGTTTCTTCTGCGGAGCCGAGGCCAATGGCCGGGGTGTTGAGAGGTGCTGGTGGGAGAAAGTTTGTTGCGAGACGTTCTTCATGTGGGTCCATGATTGTGACAGCTCGTCTTTGCGGGGTCGGGGGTTTCTTGTCTTTTTCGGGAGAGTCGTGCGAGTCGCGGTGTTTGTGCGGATGTGCTCTCCTGACAAAAGGACTGAAATCGTATTTGTTCTCGCCAAAGGGTCTCTCCGGAAGATATCTCTGTGTGCTGGTGATGCGGTATGCGTAGACTTTTTGGATGGAGGAGAGGGTGTTTGGGCGGTAGCATTCTCGCCAGTAATCGTCAAAGGCATGGATACATCCGGGAGAGAGATGCTCCGAGGGAGGAAGCAATCTTGGCGGCATAACTCTTGGGAGAAGGTGTTCGGGCGTGTACCAAGATATGTAATTCCTTCTCCGGCGTTGAAGCCAAGCTCGGGGATCGCTGTGGTGAAGGTAGTAATCCGTTGCTAGATCCCACAACCATGGCTGTCCAGAAGCCCAGACATAATTCCCCAGAAATAGGTTGTATGCTTCCTGGCGTTGGCTGTCGAGAAAGGAGTTGTGGTAGTAGCGTTTGAAACTTTCCACCATATCTCTGGATGAACTCTGCCAGTGGCTCAACTTGCGGTAGGTAGCCATTGTATTGACCAGATGAGACCCACCGTATTGCATGGCAATGTTGTCGCCATGATCGTGGAACATTTCTGTAAAGAGGTTGACAGCATCGGTATCATATGCAACTTCCTCTTTACTGATGACTCCCAGAGCTTTCAACTGCAGAGCAAAGGCGTGTTTCCCAATGACGAACTGTGCTGCATTCGTGCGATCCAGACAATCAATGCAATTCGTCCTTGCGACACCATTTTGCACTTGTGAAACTCCCGACGCAGCATCTCCATTGTGAAAGAATCCAGTCTGCAGCAGAATCTCTTTTGCAATCACCTCCAACCCGCCAATGACATCGCCATTCCTGGTCTTGGCCGCTCGCGACATGTCGTACGCCTTGTACCTGATCTTGTTGTCTTCGGGCAGACTCTGGTTGAGGTATTTGATGCATTCCTGCAACTCATGCAGCAGCTTGGATTCTCGTGGGACCTTTTCTCTGGACTTGACCAAGTTCAGAACATAGATTGGACATCCATACCGCTCGAAGAGGTGGTCGAAATGTAAGGCAGCGGGTTGATAGAATGGATCACTCAGATTGATGTCAATGCCGGGCTTGGGAGTGACACCACTGTTGTCCTGGGTCCAATACAATGGTATACTCCCTCGATAGTGGAGGTAAGATGTGTAAGTCGGGTTGGAAAAGAGCCGCGGTCCAGGGGCGTGGAATGATGTGGTCAACTTCTCCGCCACAATCTGCTCCGTCTCAACATCGTTCGCCACGTAACCTAGATCGTTGACACCTCGTTTGAGGAAGCGAGCACCCGCAAAGTGGCGTGATCTCCTCCCAATAATGGTGACATAGACGGCACGACCGAAGATGTCCAATGCTGTCTGAWCCAGGAATCCATGGATGATGGGCAGACACCAATCGTAGGGGTACTTCATGACAGCGACTGCGGGTTTGAGGAGGTGATGATTCCAGACAAACATTCCATTGTAGTTGTGTGCAGTGACAGTCATTCCTTCATTCATCGCCTCCCGTTGCCGGATGATATTCGTTTGGAGGGAGTGGGTGATGTCGTAGGAGTAGCTGAAGTAGAAGGACTTTGTCAGGTCGAGATTGTTGAGAATTCCCAGAAACCTCGCCTCCTCTGCATTTCGATCGCTGAAGAAGGAGCTGCTGGATCCCGTGGTGAGAGGGACAAGTTCCGTCCCTTCAACCTGATAGACAAAATGGCCTCCAATCATGGCGACTTGTCTCCTCTTGGTGATGATGAGCATGTAGTAGGCTTCGGTGAATCGAATGAAGCCCAAGACTCCCCAAAAGGAGAAGCGCATTTTCAGGCTACCCGTCAACTTGCCCTCCTGGTCGATGGCGTTCAGCATCTCATTCATCTTCTGCCGATTATACACCGTCTCATCCTCATGGAGGGTAATTTGACCGGGAGGAGCATTTCGATCGATGCGCAACAAGCGAAAGTACTTGTCCGTAACATCAGCTCCGGTGATCCAGTAGCGAGTATTGCTCTCGTAGAGGGTGAATTTATACATTCGATGGGCAAAGGATTCGGCATCACGGATGGTCCTGCTTGGAGTGGGGTTCATGTGGGAATCATCATCGTAGGGAATCTCACCGGCCGCTTCTTCTGCCGTGGCACCCACACGGGAGTACATGGGTGCATCGCCGAGGGAGGATTTGGCTTCCTCCTTCCTCCTTCGCGGCYCGGGAGAGAAAGCAGCATCGTAGTCCGCATCGGGGAGAGGTCCCGCATCGACCGGCCCTTGATCCATGATGGTGATGATGATGGAGATGATGGAGATGGAGATGATGAGGATGTCAGGGAATTACTGATGGAATTTCCATCATCTCCAACACTCCACTCAATCTCGACATGCCCCTTCTCTTCATGTCATGTCAAGAACAAGAACAAGGCGGTGGCGTGTGATGTTGTGGTGAGACGTTGGACCAATCAATATTGATTCAAGCTCATGAATATACATACGAGCTATACGAGACATCATCGGCACCCCCGACGTTGCCCGCATCTTCAATCAACACCACCAGTTCCATCCCCTCCCACGCCCGCCACCCCTTCAGGCATCACCCGTCGCAATGGCGGCGCCCAAGACGTATCAATGTCTCTCCTGTCGCCTCAACTCTCCCGTCTCGATGCCCCAATTCCGCTCCTTTTCCTCGACACCCGCGCCCGCCGTGCGCCGACGACCCGGACGAGCCAAGTTTCCCAACATCAGCGCCGAAGACATGGGCCTGGCCGAGTCGCGTTCCGCAGAAGTATCCGCTCTGGCCGCGCATCTCCGTCCCTACACGGCGCGTGAGAAGCAGTTGCTGGCCACCAAATACACTCCCGCGCAGATGAAGGCCATTGAGGCGGGAGAGGCGGCGATTGATGCGGGCGACATGATGAAGCRGGGTCGATTCCGCACCGATCCGTTGAGAATTGACTACATTGATGACTTCGCGACGGAGAGGCCGGTGGTGGACAAGTTTGGCTCGGCGGCGGTGGAGAAGTCATTGCAGGAAGCGCTGGTGGAGGGACGACAGCCTCTTCAATCTGCTGTCACACGGCCACGGAGAGATGACAAGGACAAGGAAAAGACGGAGGAGGAGGATCCGCACATGTTGCGACTTTCTCAACAAACCGGTCTGACCAAGGAGCAGATTCGCAAGATTCGGGTCAAGAATCTGGTGACGCATCGCGTGGTGAACCAGACGAGAATGGGAAAGATCCAGTCGCTGTACTTTTTGACCATTGCGGGAAATCAGGAGGGCATGTTGGGCATTGGAGAGGGCAAGGCGGCGGAAGATGAGGATGGAAGACGGCAGGCCATGATGAATGCCATTCGAAATATGAAGCCCATCGCGAGGTATGAGGAGCGGACAATCTATGGCGAGGTCGAGGCCAAGGTTGGAGCGAGTGTTGTCAAGTTGTCGGCGAGGCCGCCTGGTGAGTTGAGCTGGAAGGAGGGATTGTGGTGACGATGCTAATGATTGACCGACAGGCTTCGGAAACCGCTGCCAGCATCTCATCTACGAGTTGGCCAGAGCCGCAGGGATTCAAGATTTGGCTGCCAGGACACCACGATCAAGGAACAAGATGAATGTCGTCAAGGCCGCGTTTGAGGCTCTCACCAACCAGAGGCTGCCTGAGGACATTGCAAAGGCGAGAGGGAGGAAGATGGTCGATGTCCGAGGTGTATACTATGGTGGACTTGTACATTGAGCGATGCTGTGGGGTGTATCATACTACCATTTTGTTCTTTCCAACCATGTAGAGTGGCGGTGAGTGCATGCCTTGATTGWTGATTGATGATGCTCACGTGTTATTTGCTGGTGAGAGGAAAAAGGCTGGTATGGTCAGCGCCTTCTCGAGATTTGCAAGAGTCGAAGTGAGGCAACAGCATCGAGAAAAGGGCAGGCTGAGATCGAGTCGCTCATACTTCAGTYTCCCCGTTCTTTCCGCAACGTTGCTACAATCAGAACGGCCATCGAATTGTTACCAGCAAAGGAGGATATCAAGATTTCAACGGAAACGCCAGCTCTTCGTCGCCTGTTCCATCAGTTACACAGTATTCCAATTCCACCTGGAGCTCCAGCTCAAACATGTCGCTGGCCGGTACAGAAGACATGCAAGGCCAGACCCAACCTGCTGAGACTGCCTTTCGAGGCAGGCAGGATGACATACTCCTGCCGTACCAGCCGGATCCCGACTGCCCCACGCCATACCATCGCTACTACCTGACTCGCAAGGACTACGGTCCATTTTATCTGGAGTAAGAACCCTTCTGCCCCCCTTCCCCAACAACACGAACCAAACAAACAATGCTTCCTCCTCTTCATTACCGTCCATCTTCTCCCAAACGCATCAACACTCACACTCACAGTCTCAACCCCAACGATCCACAATACATTCATCGACGCAGAGTTCCTTGCAGCATTTACTGTGGACAGCATCTTGACTTGACAGACCTCCCCACGCCAACATCCACAGAACCAATCCCCGCAATCCCACTCGACGGTACCATGGCTACTCCCACTGCTCAAGATCCAGCGCCCGCAGCACCAACCGTTGTCGTGCAGCCGGCCGATTCGGCCACGGCACCTCAGCCAGCGCCTGTCGTCGAAAAGGCGGCACCCGCTGCTGCTCCAGTGGTGCAATCTGCACCTCCTCCAGCGGCCGCGGCCAACCAAGCGGCACCAGCTGCAACATCTACTGTGGCACTAGCACCTCCTCCCGTCGCTTCGGAGAAGGTCGCGCCTGTCGTCACATCCACACCCGTCGGCACCTCCACTGCCGTGGTCGCTCCCATGCAAGTCCAGCCAGCGTCCACTCCTGTGATGGTCGCACAGCCGGGTGGCCTGTCCAAAGGATCTACCGCTCAGCCCATGACCGGCGACTGGAAGCAACGTTTCTGGCACCCCAGCTGCGGGGAATGCTGCGGAGCTTTGTGGTGCACATCTTGCTTTTTTGGCAAGGTCATGACCCGTAAGTTATTTACACCACGCTCCCGTCCATGCCTGAAAGCTGACTCCTTCAGGCAATGACGCATATCCGGTTCCCGTGCAAGATGCGGACTTTTGCACTCCATGCTGCGGATTACACTATGCCTCCCACCTCATCTACGGATGCTTCGCCGTCGTCTGGTGGAGGCGCAACGCGCAAAGACAGAAGTTTGGAATCAGAGGGAATGGATGCGAGGACTGCTTGTGAGTGCCTTGCATGCAGATCTAAATCAATCAAAGGAACGAACAATGACTGACTTCTGCGAAGGGCTTCTACTTGCTGCCCCTGCTTTGTGTTGCCCCAGATGAACTCAGACCTGAAGACCCGAGCTGCGGAGGCTCCACAGCAACCACCTGTCATGTACGCTCCTCCAGCACAGAACGGCATGAACTACCCATCAGTGCGGGCACACGTCTGAGCCCATCTCGACGTTTCTCAGACCTACGATTTATCGGTGATTGGCAACGATCATGGAGTCGGACAGTGACGGGTTGAATTCGGAGGGCGGAGGATTGGGTTTGATCTAAGAAGGGAGGATTGCTGCTGCCGACACCGAACGCACACCACACAACCTACTACATGCGCCGAAGACCTTAATACATAATCCTGCCAATGTATCCTGTTTGATTGGTCGCTGTTCCATGTTGAGACTTTCAATGATGACTTCTCGTGACCCAGTCTTAACATACTACGTTGGGACGGACTTTGTGCTCATCGCTCATGTCGGTGAGAGTTTCGCAGAGCACTTCGTTGCCGTTGATGTCGCCGGCAGAAGAATCCAACTCAAACTTTGCGCACTGCAAGTGATCCGAAATGTAGACAGCTGCCGCCATYTCGCTCTCTCGGGTATCATCCTTCCGAAACCTCTTTGATTTCAAAGCAGAATCTCGACTCTGTTTTCAAACGATGCGGTGGAGAGCATGAAAGCAACCATGGGTGAGAGTGCGGCTGTTTACGACGAGTTTCAAAGACGAGGGAGCGACGAAGCTGCATCGAGTCCATCTTCTGCGGCATGTTGGGAAAGGACCAATATGGTTCCGACCCACCCAGTTCATCCTCGGGTAATGAACAATGATTCACTCAACTCTGTCACGATTAAATCAATTGCTGCCTTGGGGAAACCAAGTACATTCCCATTGTTCGCGGACCTTTTGAAAGGGCATTCTTGGCAAGATGTGGCATTCTGTTGCTCTTCAGCTTGTGAGCGGTGGAGGTTTGCTGGCTGAAGATCCTCCTTGACGCTGAGGTGAACGAAACAGGCTCTGTCCACGGAGGCTTTGTTTCTCGCGACCTCAATCTTCATGGCGAATTGAGGCTGGCTGGTTCTTTAGGACTGACCGTTGCTGACTAGGAGTGCTCTGCAGTCTCATACTGTACATCCTCTTGATATTGTATTCCACGCAGCTTTCGGCCTTCGACGACTTGCAGGGCCAGGCTCGCCTTTAGGAATCTCCCATCACGCCTACAAAGCGTGTCATGATTCAGAATTTGAGGCACCAACACCGCCGATACATTGTGGCTAACGATACTGAAAGGGATCGAGTTGAAAGGTGAATCGCAGTCATTCAGGCTACCCCAACCCTGACCCTAATCACCAAGAGGACGGAGGCGATTATCAAGCAGTCACAGGACTTTGATGTCATAATTTTCGAAGAACGCGCTCATGTCACATTTCTTCTGCGAGTCTTCCGGGCAGAAAGCAAATCACTCAATCGTGAATAATCAGAGACTGGAATTCAGGTCCTTGAGCTCCAGCAACCACCTTCCCAAGATTCATTGACCGCATCGCCAGCCGTCATGAAGAGAGTGACAACGTCAGCAGAGAATACTGGGAGTTTCGTCCGTGCATCAGGTGAGAGGTCAGCGAAGAAAATCGAGACAGTGGCCGACGTGGCCGGCGTAGCAACTTGCTTCTCCTCCTCCCTCCCAGGCTTCAGTGAGTGGTGGACTGATTTCTATGCCCCATGCAGAAGATTTTACATCTGTTGCAGCTGATGTCGAGGGTTCACCAAGCATCATAGCTCACCATGTCGTCAATGTCAGCTTAGCGATGATGTTGTCTGTTCTAATCGATGAGAAGCCGTATCCATGGGCCTTTGGAGAACCGACGGATGGATAGGGACACCGAACAACATGTAAGGAGTGGTACCCTTGCTCATCGCTTCCCTCTCCGCCTTCTGGCCTGAGAAGGTCACCGTCACCGCGCAGACGGTGAACTACAGCTGTCTGATCCTGGGGACAGTCATGCTCGTCAATGTGTCCTGGTGCTTTTGGGAGCAAGACAAGGCTATGCGGGCCCTCTGCTCGACGTACAGCTTGCTCCCGAGAGCACTCAAGCATTGTACCAAAGTGATAGATAGAGAGGATGTTGATGATGTTGATGACGATGATTCGGTGTTCGTCGTTGCTCACCCGAGATTCGAGACCCATGTCTAGCGTGGTCTGAGTCAGCAAAGTCTTGACCACACTTCCTCCGAGGGTTCCTCAGCCTCGTCGTCCTCATCTTCCTCGTCTTTCTATACATCATTCTGCTCAAGGAAGGAGCATCTGGATCCGCAAGCTATGCTATCGAAATTCAACGCATGGCGTGTTACTCCTGCAAAACTGCTCCGCGCGCGGCAATCATCGAAGACCTCTGCTCTGCACCCTCGTCTTTTCTTTGCGACAGTACGTCCGCGCAAATGCTTTCTCGAGTCCTGGRGCCCGGCGACGGATCTGACAGGGGCAAACTAATAGCGAGATGAAACTCGATCCGGAATGGGTCGCAGGTTCCGCTTCGCCGAGTCCATGAGTCTGGAATGCCACATCGTCCTTACATGGATTCTATCTGGTCACGACATAGCCCCACCTTCGCTGGATTGTTCGGCATCACTGGTTGCATCTTGAGGATGATTTTACGAACAGAGATTCGATTTTTCAGATTGCTCAAGGAGAAATTCAGCTATCTACGGCGCTTCCACAACTAGACACTTTGCAGCATCTCAAACGACATGAGTCGCATTGCAAAATAACTGAGACTGCCACTCCTGGTCTTTTACTCAGTCTCCGAAGTGTTGGGATGAACCGATACCACCCACGACCCGGAAAATCCCGCAGTGCTGTCGCCAGGAGTCTTGCTGTACTTGGAGTGGGGAAGCGAGCGACCCATCAATCAGAACTGCGACTAGTGCGGCTGAAGATTTCCAGCAGCAGTGTCGGCTGTCCAAGCCTCGTCTTGTCCGTTATTCAAAGCCAGGCGCGGCCGGCGAGATTGGCTCGACGACCAGCTGTTGCGCTTTCGGGAGTGGTATGAGCAGCTCTCTTGCGCTTGTTTTGAGGAGTGCGGGTGGCAACTGTTGTATTGACCATATCCAGGGCCGAGTGCCCCTGGAGAGCAGACGAAGTGGTGGTGATCGCGTGCTGAGGCATCGTAGGCTGCGAAGCGGAGGACTTGGAGACGTGGACTGGCGTAGGAGCGGAGGAGCGGAGCGCAGCAGAGTCGCAGCTCAAGGTGCTGTGCGGGTTCTCACGAGGGTGAGAGCACTGCGTCTCCACCGAATTCTCGTAAATGTCCTCATYACTATCGTCTGAATCATCGATCGCGGGTGCAACGTCGAAGTCCTCCACGCCGACATCATCCTCGACATGGCCATCCTCGCCATCGTCATCTCCGGCACCACTTCGATCATCAGTCTCTGAATCAGCATCAGAGTCCTCCTCGTCAGTTTCGGAGACCTTCTCGCCAGCATCTTCTTGTCTGAGGCGCAGCTCTTCTTCGCGGTCGTAGTGGAAGACTCTACGCAATGCTCGACGCTTAAGTGCCCGCTCTTGTTCCAAAATTTGGTCTTCTTCTGCGCGGTCGTAGTAGAAGACTCTACGCAATGCTCGAAGCATATTCGCCCGCTCTCGTTCCGCAAGCCGCTGCACCATCTGGGAAGATAGCATTCTGCTACGGGTCTATAAGTCAGGGTACGATACACACATGTGCTCGGGCTTACATACCTGCGTTCTAGAAACTCTGCGATTTGCGCTGCTAGGTTGTGGCGAGGTCAGTGAGCTTGATTGTGTTCGCACTGGTTGAAGCGTCAAGCTCGGAACTGCGAGTGGAGAAGGGAAGAAACTCTCTTGCCAAGCCTCGTACACGAAGGGACGACCCGCGTGCGCAAAGACTGCAGCCACTACGCTGATATTCAAGGTGTCCAACTCAGAGACTCGCAGTTCAAGGGCGGAAGGTCGCAACAAGGCGCTGGTTTTCCTCGCCATTCTACTGCGTGAGCTCACAACACTGGCGACTACTGGCTAGAAACAAAGAGCACCTTCAATCGTCGACTTTTACCTAAAGCACAATTCTGCGTCGGTGGACTTAGGCGACGTTGACAAGCATCTGGGAAGAGGAGTCTGTAGCTTTTAAGCTATCGCAATGCTACCATGCTATGCTTCAAACGCTTAATACACAAAGTTGAGCAGTACKCCATCTGCTCTACCGCCTGGTACCATTCTTAGCACTGCTATGGACAGACGATTGCACCGCATTGTTGCGGTGAGCCCAAAGTTGCCACAACAATAGCCTTGGCAAACAACGTCGGGCATTTCATCGTATCACGCTCAGACCTTCCATTGAAGTTCAACCTGCGCTCATTGATCTACCCACGATCAGTAACATCGGTCGGAGGACTGGCACGCAGTGTGCTGGTTCGCTGCCTAGTAGATCCGCCGTTCCGCTCGTTCGAGGACTCACCAAGCTCCCTCTTTCGCTTGGGCCTGCCTTGTTCTGCCGGAATTGGTGTGGTGAGCTCTGCATATCCCTGAGCGACCGGAAGCCCTGTAGTGCTCTGCTCGGCCTGCGAGCTGGCGCCCGCCGCAGTCTGTCCCTCACTGCCGGATAGAGCGTGTTGCGTGGCTTGAGGCAAGGCTTTACCGATGAGGGGGACTTCCTGCGTAGACTGTTGGAAGTGCGCAGGGCGTCCAGAATGTGTCGGGCTGATAAGGAGTTGATGAGTACCGACAGTGCCTTGATGGTCATTCCTCGAGGCACGGCTCCTGTCAGGACTCACCGGAAATGAAGGCCTGTCGCCCAAGACAGACTCGTTGGAGCAGCCCCTGGAATCGTTTGGAACGTATCGATGAGCAGTAGCCTCCACGGCCATGTTTCCGAGATCGTCCCGGCTGTTGATAGGCGGGAGAAGCTGAAGTCTCTGAGACCGGTCGGAAAATGATGAATTTCCCACACTTAGCACACCAAAGTTGGCGGAAGCTAACGGACCTCCTATCCTAGGCTCTGCCGCAGGCCGGAACGCTGTGGCGCTGGTTTGGCTCCCGTACCATCCACCTGGTGGCGGCGGCAGGGTTCTAGCTGACGGCTGTGCACCTGTCTGTATGAGATGGCCTCCATCCGAATTCTGTCTCCCACCCGGCGTATCTCCCCGGCTTGTCGTACTCTTGCCTTGCCGCCGAAGTTTGGCATTCCAGCGTGCAAAAGCCCCGGCTTGAGCATCATAGAACCCTAGCGGTGCATTCGGGGCGGCGGGAAGCGAGAAGTGATCAAAGTCTGGGTTGCAAATGATGGCGAAATCCTGATCAGCTTGCCCCTCCAGAGATTTCTCCTTTACGCTTGTCTGTCGTTGTTCAGCAAGGTACTGTGCTTCAGCTACCTTCCTGTCCGCTTCCTCCATCTTCTTATTGGCCTTGTTTGCGTTGGAACCTTGGCATCTGATCTTAACCTTTAGGCACGCCAACGGATCGTCCGCAATCGCTTTGATTCTCTCACCCTTCGCGATGTCTAAGGCAACGATGGCGTATTCCTGAGACGTGCAATGACGGTCAGCTGATGTCAAGACTTCATCGATAAAAGATGGGAGACCCACCGAAACGATCTCCACAATCAGCCGCAGCCGGTCCGAGCACTTCATGTTCTTGGTGCCATCGACCTTGGCCTGTTCTTCCGCAGAAAGCTCGTCGTTGATACTGCCACTGCCGACTGGGAATCCGACGACAATACCATTCTCATGGATAGTGCAGACATGCTCCTAGTATATGTCAGATATGCAAACAATCCGCAACGAACAACACTCGAACGTACGACCAACTCCCAGGAATGCCTCTCAATCTTGTGCCGATCACCGAGATCCTGTTTGGCAACATCATCTTCCTGCTTCGCAAGCCAGTTTTCAAACTGAATTCTGGTCATCTTCACGGCTGTTCGCAGACCCTTCTTCTTGGACAGGCAGGCTGCGCGGATCGCACGCACCCAATGCTTGATATTCTGGCGAACAAGGTGGACGTCATCGTTGGCCGGCGCGACTTTTTCTCGCCGTCCATTCCTCGMATGATCGGCATTGTTGTAGACAAGCTCGTACGCCGCGGTACTGTGATCATTCACGCTCGATGCTTGAAGAGTGGTAGGGGTGGAGACTTCGAGTTGAGGCGGGGTCACTTGTGGGTTGTTTGGCACATCAGCAGCGCCGCGAATCCAGGTGGTAGGCTCGCCCAGCTCGTCCGCCGCATCCTCACCGACCTCTGCAGCGAGACGCTCAAGATCAGCAGTGGTATCTCCATCGTCTCCGTCTTCAATATCACCGGTCAGGTCGATTGGCAACTCCCTCGAGTTACCGTTGCTGCTCATCGATGCAGACATGTCCCTGCTGCTGCTCACATCAATCAGTACAATGCCTGTGCGAGAGGGATAGCCATACGAACTGGAACGGTCGGTGTTGAGCGTAGTGTGACACTTGTCTCAATCATGGGCTGTTTGAGTGTGTTGTGTAGGGAGAGGTGTTGACTTAAAGCGAGTCGAATTAGTCAAACAAGCCGCTTCTGCMAAGACGAGGAAGTGCGGGAGTCATGGAATCGTGCTCTTTGCCATCCAACAACAGCGGCTTCCGCTCCAAATTTTGTTGTGGAAGCTTGCTGACGTCCGCTAGGTGCGCTGATGTCTCCGGCGGCCGTGCAGGAGTGCATACACGATGCGAAACTCAGGGGTAAAGGAAATGCATATGCTCTGATCGTCTCAGAGGGCTGTGGGTGCCGAGTTCAACAACCGTACACAGTGTTGTATCCACTAGTACGGCTGTACGATAACGAGCTTGCCATGGCTGCTCTCCTAATATGCTCACTCGAGGCGTTGCAGATCGGCGCCAGAAGAAAGATATATGATTCGTCGTAAGATTGGCTGGGCTGAGACTCTGGAACTCCCACATACAGCGTTCTAATCACGCTCATAGGAAGAAAGCCGCATGCTCTGCCCTTCTCTCACCCACTCGACCAACCTCTTGAGGCTCACCCCTGATCTTGTTCCGTCTCCAAAACAGCCCATGCATACTTTTCAATTGGTCGGGAGCGTGCGACCTTGCGCTCGTAATCACCCACAAACTCCCCGAACTCAACTCAGGCCAAGTCGGCCGGTTCTTCAAGACCTGTCTTGTTAGACAAGCACGTAGCGCGTATGTCTCAAACCTAACACTCCTTGCTGTTAGCGACAGCATCAACATCGTCATGTTCAGGGGCGACTCGTGCCCGCATGGCAAAGCGAGCTTCGAAGAGATCCTTTTCCCAAAGTCTGCGAGGCTGTGGGTTCGTCGGTACAGCGACTACCTGAAGAGCGGAAGGATAAACGAAGGCATGCTAAGCGTCGGAAGTGCCAGAGTCCAGGCTCAGGGCAGCGGTATCCGATTGCGTGGGAGGGCAAATGGAGGCAGGCATTAGTGATGCCCGACTTCGAGCTGAGGCCGGCAGGCTCCAACGTTGTGACGTTCGACCTGTTTTGCTTGGGACATGGGGAAGAACCATCAGAACTAACAACAATGGGATCATCAGCCTCACCAGGAACACGGCCGACAGCCTTTCCCGTAGGCTCTCCTTCTTGCTGATGTCTGCGATCGCCATCGCGAGGAACCCTGTGGACTTTCAGAGTTCTTGCCGTCATGGCCTTGCCATCGATATCCATCCTCTCGTCGAGCCACACTGCGGCTCTCATGTCATCGTAGCCTGGTTCTGCCTCCCCGGATTGATCACCACTGTGGAAGCTCCAATCCTGAGCGTTGGTGATCCCCGCCTTTGGCGAAGCACGTATCTTCGTCAAAGTGTTCGCGGCCTCCACGACCGGGGCACTTGTATCATCAAGTTGTAGACTTTGATGGGTATGTGAACTTCGATCGAAGGCTCAAAGGTTCTTGGACGAAGGTATCCAATACCCCAACGTAAGGCACTTTGGGCCTTGGGAAGAAGGAAAGCAGACAAAAGATATCACTGGATACCGCTAGACCCTGGCCGCTTCGGGAATGAACACATTTGACAGGTCCGAGCCAGTCGCGACTGGGTGAGCAGCAAGCAAAGCTCGAACAAATGTTTAACGAGGGCAAACGCAGGCTACCGCCAAGCGATACAGGGTTGATAACGGCAGCAGTGGAGCAGACCATCGCCTCATGCTGGCCTCTGAAGGGACAAACTGTTATGCATCTGGACTACGAGATGAGACATTGCGACAATATCGCCAAACCGAGATTCAAAACTTCCAGTACGTGATGCCAATCCATTCATTCTGCTGCGACATGCTAAGGTTCCATACACGTTGTGAGAACCTTCCACAAGATCCATGGTAGTGCCCCTACCACCCCCATACGTCTCGATTGCCTCCAAAGATAAGATTTTGTCGACAACTGCAACAGCGATACTAAGTAGTCGTTGCCATTCAACCAGTGGGCGCTGGATACGATGTGCTTGCGGCAGTCAGAGTGCCTGGCGGACAAGCATCGCCTCCACCAGTGGCGTTGTAGACGAGAACCTCAAAAGAGCCGAGACTATCGGTAGTGCTGGGAAYGCACGAAAAGACTGTAACAGAGGTCAAAGATTTGTTACAAGCCCAAAACTTCGGTGGCTTCACTCACTGTCGACTGAAGACCCGTATGCCTGGCCGATGGCAGCGTACGCATCTGAAAGTGGCATTAATTGGGGACCTGCACATCAGAGAGCCAGAATGCTTACCTCCAGTGCAATCCGTACTCTTGTACAGTACGACTTGGTTGTTGGGCTCCATGCCAATGGCCATCACCGAGTGGACATCGTCGCGGCCGAATGGGGTGCAGGGAAGACCGCAATTGAAGCCCGCCCCACCCCGAATCTCAGAGCATGCATTGTCGGAGGACCACATCAAATCCGCGAATGCAGGGGCGGATAGTGTCGCAAGGACGAGGAGGTTGAGGTTGATGTTGATGTTGAACATGTTGGTGAATCTGTCTGTCTTCGAGTATGTCTGTTGGCAGAAAGGCAGGCTCAAGATACTTTATATGTCCTCYCCGATGAGTCTACGTCCGGAAGAAGACCAATACTCTCGTCATCAGCATCGCACTCAAAGGGGCTTCGGAAGGATGCTACGCACCTGCTCTGCTGGTGGAAGGATGGCGACGAGAAATTAAGATTCCTTCAAGTGGAGACAAGGCGCAAGGAGGATGAAGTTAAACCACTAAACAGCTTGGCGAATCTCACTCCTTGCGGTGGTATCCGGTGGCATATCCTATCAGTGTCTCCCTACCGTTGAATGATGCTTGGCATGAGAAAACAACGTGCCTGTTTCATCGGAACATCCCTTTTCTTGGCCGCCGACTGAACATCACGTGGGGATCTAGTGATCTAGTGGGAAATTTTGAGTTAGGGCTTTTCTGGGAGGCAAGAAAAACAATCATCAACACGGCTCTAGTCCACGCCCCTCGGACATTCATGACGTGCAAACCAGCCATTGTGGATGTTCCTCCGACCGTTGAGGGAACTGTATCGAAAAAGGGAAAAGACCGAAGACAAGACGAAGTGGGCAGGAACCGAGACCGATTCTCATTGAGATATATAAAAGACTGATGTTCGCCTTCGAATTGGAAACATCAGCTTTCGCATTCCCACACTACCAGCAAGCTCATTCAAATCACCAAGCCACCTTTGAGCACCTTGAAGCTACAATGGCTTTCATCACCAAGGCCTCCCTGTTCCTCGTCAGCGCGACTATTGCAAGACTTGCAAGTGCTACCAACCTCTACGTCTTCCCAAACTCAGATTGCGACAAGAGCGGCTACTACAACACAATCTATACATCTGAAGGCACATGCTCCAGCACGATCACCTCGGGGGGTGAGTTTTATCGTCTCACGGCTATTTCGACCCACTGCTAAGCAAGATGTCCAGACGACAATTTCCAGAAGGTTGGCAACACTTCTGATGTATACCAAAGCTGGGCCCTCGTCGACGAACAGCTAGATCATGGCTGTGGGGTAGTCATTGGACAGGGATCCGGCGACGGAGTTCCGCCAGCCTGTGGCTCATGTATCCTTCTTCTGCACAACGCCGGCCAGTGCGTTGAAGTGGACATCAAAGCAGACTACTTCTCAACTCAGTGTTGCGTATGTCAACAATCAATCCTACCACACTTGCTCGCGCTAATGATTGTATAGGGTCAGGAATGTCAGAATCTGTGCTCACAAATTMCAGGGAAGCGGACTCTCGGTGAGACTACAGAAGCTCCGGAGGCCAAGGAGGCTGAGACAGCCAAAACTACACCCGACATTGGGAATTTGAAGAACCGTTCCCCGGTTTCTTCCTTGAAGAAGCGCAGCGACTGCAAGTTCTCCCAGAGCGGTGTGAGTAGGAGCAAATTCCAGCCCTGCAGTAGCCGCAGAAGCTGACAGATCGCCTAGGGTCTCTATTCGCAGGTTGGGGCCCCCGTCAAGGTCTCACCGACCTATAACACCTGCCCGAGTGAAAACGGTTGTTCGAACATGTATTCTGGCACGATTGAATCAAGCTTTTCGCAGGGTTTTGATGTCAGTGAATCTACTGAAGCCGGACTCTTCAAAGTTGTGTATGTTTCCTCGGGTGGCCATTCAACATTCGTAATTAACTGACTGTGATATAGATCTGAGACCGTCACATTTGGCTACAGTGCTACTTGGGAAGAGTCCAAGTCTTCCACCGTACAAAGCTCCGTCACCTTCAATCAAGGTCAATCGGGCTTCATAACCTTCAGTCCTTTGTCCCAATGCACCCGTGGTACTTTCTCTGGAGCTGACTGCGATGGTATGGGCATCCCTGCTGGTGGTGATCCACGTGCTGCTTGCGTTCCGGAAATCCTTGAAGGTGGTCTGCCTAATGGCGACATCAACGTGGTTACGGTTGCTTGAGTACGCAAACTAGCTGATTGAAGCTCTCCCGGCTCAACCAAACGATGAGCTCGCAACGATCAGAGGAGATTGATAGTGTGCGCGAGAGTAGTGTTTCATAGATTGATTCTTTGGTTTTTCGACAGTACTTTGAAATTAAATGCCTTGTCCGGACATCAAGGGCACCCTTCTTGTCTCTGCTCAGTGTTCGTGAGGGAGTTGAAAACGCTGCTCGTGTGATTGACCAAAGGACGATACTTGAGAGCTCCATCGTCAATCTGCTTTGATCCGACATGTCAAAGGCGGCTATAGATTTTGATCGATACTGAACCCCACCCTCACACTTCTCCTCTAGAGCTGTTGCTCCAGTAATATACAACTCCATTCTTGAGATTCTGGTTGACCTACAATAGCAGCATCCAACAAGCTTCTCCGCATTTCGGCTATAGAGGTCCACGCAAGCAACATAGTTGCCTTGCCGCTGGTCGCCTAACTCCGCCAAGCACAACTCCATATAAGCTCAAGTGATGCCCTCTCAAACATCATCAAACAACTAGTCAACCGATCCATTCTATCCACACTAAAACCCATACAAGAAATCACCCACAATGTCCCAAGAAACCTTCGTCTACGTCTCATACCCTCGAACGCCAGATATCAAGTTTGACAGCGAGTACTACTTGAGAAAGCACATGGCTCTGGTGGACGAGCATTGGGTTTGTCTTCACTCCCACGACTTGGCCGTTGAGACTAACAATGATGTGTAGAAACAATTCGGCTTGAAATCATGGACCGTGGTGGAGTTCCCCGAAGGAGATGCAAGTGGAATGCACACGCAAGCCATTCTGCGATTCGACAATGCCGATGGGTTTGAGAAGGCCATCGCGGCGAACATCCCGGAAGTCATGAAGGACATTGAGAATTACTCCAACGTCTCCCCGGTGCGATGGTTTGGTAAAGTGACGAAGGAAGGATGAGACCTGCGKAACACCTCATTGCTTTTTCCATTAGTATACTAAAATTCTCAAGCGACATTCATTACTTCTCCTCCACCTTGCCCATCATGATCAGTCTGGACCCTCCCCATAATAGCAAAAGCCTCCAGCTCCATATCTTTAATAATATCCTCCCCCATAGCCCTCGGCGTCCAAATCGGCAACTCAATCTTCTCCCACAAAGTATGATAGCCCGGCTCGGCCGAAGGAGGAATCTGCGCAACATTTACCTGCATGATATGACCGATTCGTACCATGATCCAGCACGCAGGACAACACCGTCTCGTAGAATCGAACTGCACTTGTGGGAGAGATCTCCAGAGATGCCTCAAACTGATGAATCGCTTCGCCTCGAAATCAAACGCGGTGCGAACATCGCCCTCTGTGCATGAYTTGATGATGTTTTCTCGCATTTGCCGGCCGTTGAGACATGCTGCGAGCGCCATGGCGGAAGCTTCGTGGTGTGGGGTTATACTGGACTCTGGTCGGATTGTTGTGGTCACCTTCCCGCAAAGTCGTGTCAGGCATCTCTTCCAGAACGGCAGCTGTTTGGATTGTCCTCGATCCATCTTGTGTAAGATTGACTGCAGCTTACGGCGATCCAGTCTCGCTTCTCTACCCGGTGGAGCTTTCAGGCTCTTCTTCACCACTCTATCCAAGCATTCGTTGAGTGAAAGGGTGCGTCGATGCTTCCTCTGCTTTCTCACAGTCACAATGTGGAGATTGAGGAGGTCGATCATGTTCGATCTTCTCTTCTGCTCCGGTGATCTTTTCTCTGCGTTGAATGATACCGTTTCGATAACTTTGAGATCGTGGTCGGAAATTTGCAAAAGGTACTTTTTTGCGATCATGGCCCATTGATCGTGTGGCGTGGCGTCTTTAGGGAGAAATCGTGGGTCGCCTTGGTTATCTATCTCAAGCTCCTCGTCATCAAGGGTGATCATGGCCGAGCTGCTCGGGTTAGTACAGACAAGTGCCCTCACTGGTGAGGATGAGCTGGCCGGGTCGTCCTTCTCGTTGAGATTTGAGTCATTGATGTGCTCGCCGAAGTCTGGCTCATCATACGCAGATGTAGCGCCAGTGACTTGCGACAGCCATTTCAAATGAACGTAGAGAATCGCCTCAAAGTTGAGGTGGATCTCCGACAGGCCACGAATCTCCCGCGAAAGCCTGTATACCGCAAACTTGATTTTCTCTTTCGCAGGGGTGGCAGAAGTGGCAGAAGTGGCCTTGAGCTCTTCTTCGGTAGGATTTGCTTTGATGGCGTGGATGAGTCTAATGAGCTCTCCTGCTTGTTTTCGGATGCCTAGCAGTCGTTTCGATAGCATGCCGTGGAATAACTTCCTGCCCTCGACGTCGTATACCGAACGCATCGGCAGGCTGGTCTGAGGCTTAAACTTCACACCCTGGTTGGTCCAGAAATGTACGAGCATTCGATGTTGATTCACGGACTGTTCTAGTGTCGGCGTGGGGTCGACACATGGTAGGCGATGAGCACGCTCCGGAAAATCACGGATGGGAGTCGTGAGGATGTCAAAGAGCCATCGCTGTCCGTTTTCTTCCCGGTATCCAGTCTTCAAACCACGCACGCCAAACTCGAGCCTTCTCAAGATTTTACAACAGCTGTTGAACACAACAAATTTTGTCAAATTGCAAGCTGTATTGTAACGTTCCTCCTCCGTCTCCGCCCGGTGGCATTCTTTTACGAGTCCCAACAAGCTCTCGACATGTTCCTTGTACGGTATCTCGTATGCYCCTGTTTGGTACCACTCATGCCACTGCTCAAGGACGAGATCGATGATGTCTCCTGGGCTAAGAGGGCCCTCGAATTTCCAGAGTTTGTAGCTGCTACTAATCTCCGAGAGAACACCCTTGAGTTGCTCCATAGGGGTGTTGAGGTCTTCGTAAGGAGAATCTGGCATTTCGAGCATGATAGTGAAGGTTGTACCACAAGAACTCCACACAAACTCGTGCATTAGAGATGCGACGTCGCCGTCGCGAAGTGACATTTCCAGTATTGGTAGGGGAGTAACATGCTGGAACTGGAGTTTTCTTCTCCGTTGCTCTTCGTCTTGCGTCTTCAGATTGTCCACAGTCTCTTTACTGCGCCTCAACTAGACGAGGAAGCCAACATTCAGCACGCTCTCAATCGTCGGGCGTCTCTGAATCAGACTCACCTGTACGTCGAACTTGGCTWGAAGCTCCGAGAGACCGCTTGCATACGCAAGCTCCTGGTCGGACAGGAATTCACCATCATTCTTAAGATGCCGCTCTATGTAGGCAAACATTTCACGTTTCATTTGCGCAGCCGCGGCTTTCTCCGCCTCTGTCAAGCCCGCATGTCCAGCTTCACCTGCAGCCGCGAGGTCCGCAGGTTCGGCTGCTGGCGGAGGTGGTTGCGGTGGTACGGCAGCATTTGCCGGACGGGGATACACACAACTCATTGTGTTGTTGCGATGTTGTAGACGATTCCCAGGTGATAAGCCGACCGAGAGGAAATGGAGGGGGGGGGGCATGAATTTCGCACTACGACCACAGCGACAAGGCGGAGAGCATCGGTACAAGTGACGTGCTCCATTCTACAAGTAATCCTGCAATGTGGCCTCTCTTTCAATTTGATCTTGAACTGTGGTACGGGATCATACAGGGTTGGCGGCGAGCAGGTGGGAGGACGGCAACGGGAACTCAAAGCGAACACAGATGTAGGTAAGGTATGCTCGGCGACTTTCCGACTGKGCGAAATCTTGCAACATGGAGACCCTCGTCGTTGGAGAAGGATGATAACATCGCGTTCGACAGTGCGAGATGGTCATTGCCTCTCCCGAAGATGTCCTGGTCAGCGTCAGGCCGGATAAGTTGGAGATTCGCCAGGTTAAAGCTGCGGTCATGAGGAAAGTGGTGAGCGGCAGTGTACCGTCCATCTCGTCGAAAGCCAATACTGAGTGCGTTGCCCATTGATCCATGGGGAGATGTATCCAGAGTTCGCTGGCGATTGATGCCACCGAGGAATGCTGCGGCAATCCCGCGGCAGCGTGTTCCCTACGCTCAAGTTGACATACCATCTTGAAGGCTCACGGACTCTGTGCTTGCTACTGCTCGCTTAGCTACGGCTGAGCTTGTCGACGTACACATGTCGGATGGCTGTACTGTATGGGCCGTGGTCCTTGGCGCATCCTAGTAAGGCGGTGTCCAATGCGTCTTCACGTTCGCGGCTTCGCTTGAGGGCATGGTCACACGGTATATTCTATTAGTCTTGCTAGTCTCTACACACTAGATGGAATGTCTTAGTAAAGTTGTCAATATGCTGCATCTTGCCGACAACTCTACGATGGAATGATATGTGCGAGAGGACACGGTGTGTTGTCGTCGTTTGTCTTCATGATCTTGTCCTTTCCACGGATGCGTTCAATATCGCGACATGATGACTTGTGAACGTTGTCGGCATCGCCATTCCTTCTCAGCTCCGGATGAAGACGGCTGAGATGGAAAATACAAGAAAGAAGTTGCCAAGTTGCATGGTCTAGGTAGGTACTATGACTTCGCGGACAGCAGCCCGTTTGTTCGCCGAGACAAAACTCCCTCCGCCTCGGCCATCGGCGTCCGGTTATTACGCAGCCGGACATTGATCACAGACTCCACCTTTGACCTCTTGGAGCAACGTGAAAGACACCACGCTTACTCTCGCGGTACAGTAGTAAACTCTTTTCCTTGACTTGACAAAACACATTTCCTCCTGTACTCCTCAACTCCACCAGCACAATTATGGCATCCACACCAAAGCTGACCACCCAGCCCCCGCCGACTCCAACATACGTCCTCTCCTACCCAGCGCCATATGTCTTACTCATCACGATCAACCGACCCAAGGCTATGAATTCCTTGCCATACGCATCACAGTGGGAAGCCGACGCACTCCTGCAATGGTTCGATGGCGAGCAGGAACTCCGCGTGGCGGTAATCACTGGGAATGGCAAGGCCTTTTGCGCGGGACAGGATCTTATCGAACAAAAGGACATTGCGAATGCTCGAGAGAAGGGCGAGGTTTTGGATCGTAGACAATTAGTACACCCTCCTTCGGGATTCATGGGAGTCTCGCGTCGTGTTGGAAAAAAGCCTGTGATTGCTGCTGTAAATGGCTGGGCTATGGGCGGCGGATTTGAGATCTGCCTTGGTTGGTGAGTACATCTTGAGTGTCTTGTTGTGTCAGTACTGATGTCCACAGTGACATGATTGTTGCGTCTCCCAACGCAACATTCGGTCTGCCCGAAGCCATGCGTGGTTTGTACGCCGGAGCAGGCGGCCTCTCCAGACTCGTTCGTCTGGCAGGTATGACCGTCGCAAGTGAGATTGCCATGGCCGGACGATTTCTGTCAGCTCAGGAAGCTGTGCAGTACAATATTGCGAACCGWGTGTCCAAGACACATGAGTCGGTGGTGCAAGAGGCAGTTGACCTTGCCGCCAAGGWGGCAAGCCTGAGTCCCGATGCCATTATTGTAACCAGGYATGGACTTCGAGAAAGCTGGGAGCAGGGCAGCGTTGAGCGAGCGAGTCAGGCGACTGATTCCAGGTATGGAGCTGGCCTGCGAGATGGCCAGAATATTGCCATTGGTTTGAGGGCTTTTGCGGAGAAGAAGGCTCCGAAATGGGTTCCTAGCAAGCTGTAGATTCGAGATTGTGATGCAAGTATTTCCATCGCAGTTCACTCATGGGGATGTCGATGTTGCGGTAAGCCTGCTTGATGATTGAGTGTTGCCATCTTCATCTCTGTGATCGAACTTCGAGAAGCTTTGCTAGCGTGGTGAGGGAGCGGTCCGCAGCTCGACAAAACAGGTTAGCGCCTGTTCTCTCCGAGTCCGAGCAACCTCGAATCGAAATCTTCGCCCGTGAACATCAATCCGACAATTCATACCACACCAAACCAACAAAATGTCGAAGCGGGAGTCAGTGGAAGAAAGCGACAGGCCGCCGAAGAGAGCACGTGCGGAATATCAGCCACGTCCCGTAGAAGAAATCCACTTTGCCGGGCAGCTACAAGACTTTTTAATTTTCCGCCAAGATGGAATCAATCAGCTACGACATGGCATCGCTTCTTTCAAAGCATTCCTCGAGAGCATTCTCTATCACCGRGAAGAAGACAATCGTGCCCGACAGATCTCCATCCTGCGGGAGTATCTAGAAACTCAAAGACCCGCAGATGCGAAGGATCTGGAGCGGCCGTTCCTTTCCCAGCTATGGCAGGCATGGTCGTTTGCGAATCAGAACAACAATGATCATCTATCGTCATCAGTATGTGCGATCCTGGCGCTCTTGTTGAAGACGTTGTCTGGAATCCTGGATCTTCGCGATCAGGGCAATCTCCTCTGCAAAACGATCCTTCAACATCAGCATCTCCGACTTGTGAAGCGCTGCCTGGATGCTCCCAAACACAAGGACTTTGTCATCTCACCATGCTTCCGACTTTTGATAGAAGTCACCACTTTCGATGGAGGTATCATGGCGAGGGAGGTGTACGAGAAACGAGAGCAGACCTTTGACAGCAGTTCGTTGAGGAGGAATCTGGGTATGGTGAAGCAAGAGTGGGTTTTGCCATGATTGCACAAATGAGCATATCTGACTTTCGCGCAGCATTCCCGAAGAGGAAGCCAAACGGCGACCATCAATACGATCCCTCACCATCCGATTCATCCTCGCATTGTTCAAGTATCTGCACGAGGGTGGAAAGATTGACATTCTCAAAAACAAGCCTCTCTGCAATGCATTATTCCAGCATCTTCGAGATGACCCAGCCGRTCTCATCAATGAACTGCTCACCACCATCGAGCAGAGCGTCTTGAAGGATGCAGAATTGCCGCGATCTGCCAAGCAGGCCGTCTTGAGCATTCAAAATCTGGAGAGGGTCACAGAGGTCGCAACACGCAGTGAGGAAGGTCATGCAGCATCGGAGAAAGCGTTCAGCTGGCTCAAGTCCGTCTCTACCACCCCACAGTATGGCTTGCTTCGGGACAGTGGGTGGTATCCGCCAGGCACCTCAAGCTCGGATGCTACTCGCTCATCGATCTTCGTTGATCTCGGCCTGGACAGTCTCGAATTCTACGACTCAGAAGAGCCAATCAACGTTCGAAATACAACCTTGCTATCCTGGGCCATGAGTCTCCGTGCACAGACGGATGAGCGTGAGCGCGAGCTTCTCGTAACCTGCTTCACGTCTGCACCGGAACTCGTTGCGGCTTACTTTGCAGACAAAACGATGCCCATGGAACCCAGATTGACAAATACGTGGATCGGCTATGCGTCCCTTCTCTTCGAGATTGTCCGTCTTCCAGTCCCCGCAAACTTTGGTCATGAAGAGGGCAAGGCATCATTGCCAGCACAAACCTCCATTATGATTGAGAATATCCTTCCACGCCCGCTGACTCAAAAAGTGTTGGTACGCTGCCTCAACCAAGGCAACGACTTGATCACCTTCTTTGCCATTCGCCTGTTGGTGCTGTCATTCCAAAAGCTCGCTTCCGTGCTTGAAGAGATGCGGCCTCAATCGAATGATGACCGACTGTGGAAAGAAGCTGCGAAAAGATTACAACAAAGATTCATCGAACGATGCCCTCCCATGAAGGATGTCATTGCTGCATTTCGCAAGATCCCGGATGACTACGAGCACTCTCTGCAACGCGAAGCAACGACCCGACTCCTTCGACTGTACTACGAGCACTCTCCTGGTCAGGCACTTGAGGAACAATTCGACGTCTCCACCACTCTCACAGCAGCGCTTGTCGGTAGTGAGGTCCCGACCGAGCGTATTCCTGCCGAGTTGCAGGCACTTAAGAAGTTGGAGCTGGAGCACCTCCTGGCTATTGCTCGACATAGCACCGGCATGAAGTGGTTCCACAAGCAGGGTGGCCTGACTTATACCCCAATTGTGACGCTTCTGAGGATTCATCGCAAAGACCCACTGAACAGACAAGTCCGATCACTTCTGCAGCATGTTCTCGTCGGAGAGAATGTCTTGCAAGAAGGATCTGCTCCTCTTGATGTTCTTGTTGCTAGCTTACTTGGACTTTCAGACGACAACAGTGCTTGGGAGTTTGTCGACGATTGTATTGGGCGTGCAACTCGCAAGCCGGTGAAGTACTTGGATGATCTTGATGTCATTGTCAGGAAGCTCCGATTGGAAGAAGCCGCTACAAATCGGCCGAGTCTGCTCATTGCTGTCGTTCTTGAGCAAGCATCGTTTGTTGCCTCCAAGATGGATGGCAGTGGGAAAGCCAAGGCTGAGTGGGTCGAGAAATATCTCTCCCTTTCTCATACCACCAATCTCGAGGACAGCAACATACTGGCGGACGTGTTGAAGAGCGTGCGCAGTCTCTCGGGATGGAATGTGACCAAGCCGAAGGATCTAGAAAAGGATTTGGAGGCAGTCCGACTGCCTGATGAAATCTCAAAACACAGTCAAAGTACCAAATCTACAACCACCACCGGGGACTCCGCTTTGAACTTCCAGCAACCTCCACCAGAACCCAAATCCCACCCTTCACTAACTCGCTGGTCACTCAAAGAAATCGACATGGCTCTCGAAGACGGTGACGTATCCTCCTTGATCCTCTGCCTCTGCTCCGAGCACAGCGACATCCGCAAACAAGGTTTCGCCCAACTCAACAAGGTCAAGAAACTGCTTCACACTTCCTCCTTTGAAAACAGCGCTCAAGTCACGCTATTACTAGGAGAAATGACCGAGACGTTTGAACAGCAATACTACGCACCCGACATTCCTTTCCCTTATATCGCCGGAGCATTTGGCGTGCGGGCGTTGCAAGTCCTTATGGAGCCAGCACATCACATCTACCCCAAACTCAACAGATATCTCATCCGAGGCCCAGAATGGCGCGTCAACAAAATGCCCAACTACTGGCTTTCCAACACCCTGCTCTCTCTCCCCGAAGACGACGATGGGTATTGGAAGGAAGTGCAATGGGTTCTCGACTGGCTCGTTGACGGACTGCGAACGCCTCAGGATTTGGAAGTTCTCCGACGCGGGAATGTCTTTGAAAAGGTTATGGGGTCGTGGAGTTCACCCGCTGCGAGGAGAAACAAACTCATTCAGGAGAGGGTGCTTGAGATGCTCTTCCGTGCGACTTGTATTGTGGGAGGGAGTGAGGTTTTGATTACGAGGAGTGGAGTGATGAGTTGGTTGGAGACTGTTGAGAAGGTGGAAGGGGATGTTGCAAGGAAGTTGAGGGAGAGGGTGCGGGAGACGTGTGAGCCTGGGAGGTTTGAGAGTTGGGCTAAAGGGGAGGGGAAGGGGAAGGAGGATGCGGCGGTGTGAGCGAGGGATGGGAGGTCTGGGAGAGTGTCAAGAGTGGTTGTATAAGTGTAATATAAGGAGTTCTTCCACAATCTCGACTACAAGAACTTCCTTGATGATATCTGGTATGAATTGCAATGTCAATCAATGGTGTTGTACCTAGTCAGATATCATCAAGGTCGACCGGACCCGATGTGACGCTTCCATTGGTTGGATCATGGGCCAAGTGAATGTACCCCGCCCCCAGACGGCGGCGATAGGCTAACCCCGAACATGTTAGTATCCGATAACGATCGATTGATTACCCTGACATCATCCGATCCTCCCACCTCCACCTGCCATGAAACCAAGCTCTCCCCAGACAAGGCAGTCCAGCATTGCTCTCGGCATGTGAAGCACAGCACACCAGAATCCCTCCATCCAACCCTCCAATCCATCATCCTCCATCCCACCAACGCAAGCAAGCATCTCCTCCATGCCGACGAACCCGATGGCCGCCCAACTCCTCGAACTCAGCCACGAGCTCCTGCACTGCATCTTCATCGAAATCCTCCCCTCCGACCTCGCCTCTTTGACGGCAAGCTGTCGAACCTTGCACTCATACATCAACGGCAACAGACTCCTGCACAAAGATCTCTACATTCGACGCTACGACCCACCACCCGAAGATACAGATTGGGAAAGCGCCCTGCACAGCAACGTCCAATTGGAAAGACTGCTGGTCTGTTCATCCCGCCCGACCAAAAAGGCACACTTGGGGGTTGTAGCAAAAGGAGTAGAAAGACTCGTGGCCACCGCCGCGAAAGATGCTGCACAGAGTCGGAATATCTCCCTCCTGAGCGAGGCATTCCACGACACGGACAATATTGATACATTTCTCTGTTCCAGCTCGCTGTTCGATCGAGCGGGGAATGATTTACAATCACCCGCGGAGACGGAAGAATTGCGACAAGCGAGTGCGAAGTTACATTGCTTGTATGGCGTGCCGATTGATGTCCTGCCTTCAGCGAGCACGTTCACGAGTCTGTTGCTCACGCATCTGAATGGTGTGACGGGAGGCTCAGCGACGATCACGCTGAGTAGAATGGAGGATGGCAGTTCTTCTTCTGCGGGAGGACCGCCTTCGGCATGCACGAGAGCGGCGACGAGACCGTTGGTGACGCATACTTTTGCGAGGAGTAAAGTTTATGATTTGCGAGAGTATTCGGAAGGATCGCTGTGGGGACCTTTTCATGGGGATGGGTCGATGCGAGTGGATTGGGAGAAGGTGGAGGCGATTATGATTGTGTTGGGGTTCAATTTGAGAAAATTTGCGGATCGGAGTGGAGGGAGGTTCCCAAGGGTGTGGGAGGATGCGTTTGTGGGTGCTACGGCAGGGTCATATCGGTCGCCGGGGAAGATTACTGCATCCGAGGAGGAAGGTGATCGAGAAGAGGAGGAGCTGGAGCCGGAATTGAAGCGAGTGAGGGATCTGGCGTTGGATTTGGATTCCCGAGATCCGTATGGTGTGAGTGGGAGTTGGATGCGAGTCGTGTGTTTTTTGGACTACAATGATCTCTATACCTTTAATTTCACCGACCGGCTTCCGGATGGAGAGCGCAGGGAACCGATTGATACGGAGGAAGGTACGATAACATTGCGCGAATGTGTAAGCCATCCTCCCTTTTCTACTTTCCTGCTGACCGCATCTATGTTTCATGACAGCCATCCGACTGATCCGCATCAAGCTGCAAGTCACCCGCATCGACCCACCCGGCACCCCAATCGACGACGACGACAGCGAAGGCGAGGCAAACTACAGTGATGATGAAGAATGGGGCGACGAGCCATCCCCACACAGTCAGCAGGATCTCTCCGGGGAAGATTGGAGCAATTTCCACGGCGAGAGATTACCCATTGTGCATTTCCGCGGGACGAGTAGGAGTTTACACGCGAGTTGGGATCCGAATGCCAATTCGAGGATTCGTGGGACCGTGAGACAGACTCCTGAGGGGGAGATTCGATGGACTACGTTTTCCATTTTCCATGGCGAGGAGAGGTGGAGGAGTGAGGGGGTGCAGGTTGGTGGGGTGGGGAGTGCGAGGGGCATTTTGGGGAATTGGTTTGATAAGTATGTTCTTCTTCTTTCCCTTTTTCTTGCTCGAGGTACTGAGGGGTGGGCGGGATGCTAATCTTGGTTATGTGTGATTGTAGGGATTTCGATGATCATGGACCTGCGGGACCGACTGCTTTCTGGAAGGAGAGCGATGAGTTGGGGGAGGACAAGGGCAGTATGTTGGGTCCTGTTTCTTGGGYGTGAATGGTTGATTGAGGCTGGAGATCTGATTTGTGTGGTGATTTTTAGGGATGAGCTGGTTGCCGAGTTTCGGATGAACTTTATGGGATGGATGGAGATGGGATGATAGACGGAGATGGGGTGAGATGATATGGGATGACATCTCATGGGAGCGACATGGGTTTCATGAGGAGTATCAGGCATGGTTCATGATTATGATGTTGGTCATGATGTGTGGGACAGCGAACAAGGCGAGAGGTATAGCAGACCTAGGTCGGGTGGAGTAAGTGATTGATGGCATGCACAGGTCGCTCTCATCTCCTGGCACTCTTCCTGATCATGGGGAATGGTTCTCATTCTCATTCTTCCCGCAGATCTTTGAAGCTTTCCCACCATCTTCTCGCTCAAGCTTCAAACTGTCATGGGTCATGGGTCATGGGTGATTGAGTATGGGTGGTGATGAACAAGACGACGGAGGTTTTAACAGACCCCCAAGACTCATGGAGCTGATGAAGCATACGGAATATGCTCGACATTGCACATCTTCATGTCATGACACCATTGTGCAACTGTTGTGCAGCATCAAAAGTTCAGACGCAGCCTTTGATGAAGATTCAGGGTCCAGTTGTGACAGCACCTCAAGCGAAGACACACGACATCGACCGCGACGTCAATCTTCACTTTACTCACAACAACACCCACCAACACCCCACCAGATATTCCCAACACCAGCCAATTAATATTGCACCGCCAGCGTCTTGTTCGCTTTACTGATTGCCTTCCCTCCTCGTAGCTATCACCGCAACCCACTCCCATTGCATTGCACCCTTTCCGCTCCCATCGCGCGCTTTTTCCACCCTCATTGATGGTGCACACTCATCAGTTCCCTTCACGTCGCTGCTGAGAGCGACAACGACCACTACTACTACTGGCCTACACCGCCGCCCACTCTGCGCTCGCCCGTGCGTGCGGCACAGCTACACCCCTCTCCTCCCACTACACCACGGCGCACCCCTCTCCCCACAACAATGTCCATCCGCCACTACACCACCGAAGAACTGCTCGCGCTCCGCAGTTCTCCCCTCGTCGCCAAACCGGACAATTTACCCTCAATCGAGCAATGGCTAGAGTTTGTCTACCTGGAATCTGATGGGGTGAGGGAGAAGCTAAGGATTCCGCACAGTGAGTCCGCAAACGCCAACCAAGCCTCCGATCGCAATGATCAGCGACAGCAAGTCCCCAAAGACGGCGGCAACAAGAGAGATCGACGTCTGCACAGTGGAAATCCCACTGCTCCAGAGGCCAGTCCTATGGGTGCCTTTAGCACGGGACGCCCGACGTTGGGGACGAGGAATTCCACAGCGAGGGGCGCTGCGGGAGGTGAGTGTTGTGATGTGGAGGAGGGATGAGTGGTGACTGATTGGATTCGCATAGATGACATTTCTTTGGGACCTCCCAAGACCAATTTCCCTTCGAGCAGACACACCTCGCGACTTGCCGATTCCGCGGGTGATATTCCCACCACCGACGACGCGGAGAATACTCGCGCCAAATTCTTCTCCGACCGACAGATGATTAACCGGAGAAGTGGTCTGCAGGACAAGGATGGCAGGGACAATCGTGACAGCTGGACGCGTGCCGCGGAGAAGAGGGCGCTGGGTGGGGGAGATGATGATGCAAAGATGGACAAGAACGATCGTTACGGCAGACATGACGCTGCAGACCGCAATGGATTCGGCGACAAGGGAGATACGCGATGGAGCAACGGCCGTGGAGAGGAGCGGAGACAGAACGGAGACAGACCAGCGGGCGGCGGATGGCGCGAGCGGGAACAGGCGAGGCGCAACAATGGAGACCGACATGATGAGAGGGAGCCCGAATGGATGGATGACCCCGTGGTGAAGAAGGATCAAGAGTTGAACTTTGCCATGCCCAAGTCGCAGGAGGAGTTTCAAAAGTGGAAGGACAGTATGAAGGTGCAGGGAGATGTGGGGGCGGACAAGGAGAAGGAGGTTGTGGAAGCACCTCCGCCACCACCAGAGCCCAAGCAGACCATCAAGCTGGAAGGCTTCGAACCTGGTGGTTTCTTCGCTTTCAACGCTCCGACTTCGACATCCACACCTCCCGCTGGCGCAGTACCGGGCAAGACTCCCGGCAAGGCCAAGACGAGTCGCTTTGCGTCCATGTTTAAGCCGCCGGTTGAAGAGCAGCCTCCAGCACCAYCCTCGGAGTCGCATCTACAAAAGGCTGCCAATGGCTTTGCCAAAACAACAGCAGAGGATCAGGAAGGTTTCAACAATGTGTTGAAAATGCTCAATAGTGGATTGAAGATTACTCCTCCAAGTGAATCTCCAGCTCCTGCTGCCTCGGCGCCGCAATCGCCGCCGCAACCCACAAGAGCCGGTGCGAATGGATTTGGCGCCAAACCAAAGAGTCGCTTCTTCCAATCCCAGCCGGAGAGTGCTGAGAGACTGCAATCCCCTCACCAAGGTGGCGTGGAGGTGCAACATCAAGACCCCGCTGTACGACCTCCTCAAGAGACGCCCGAACCCAGCAACATGTTCAACGCGCTTAGGGAGCAGCAACCTCGTCCTTCTTCGGGTCGTGTCAGCGAGCTCGCCATGTTCGATCCACCATCCCGTAGCGCTCCCAGTCCTGACATCAACATCCAAAACCTTCTCGCCCAGCAGAGGCAGAGGCCGCAGATGCACAGTCATGAGAGTCAGAATCTACTCAACTTGTTGAAGAAGAGTGATCCTACACAGCAGCCATCAAGACCACCCAGCCAGCAAACCGGCGGCGGTGATCAAGCGCAATTGCAGAGGTGGTTGGACCATCAACACCATGCCAATTCACATGGTGGTGGCCCTCCTCCAATGGAGACCTTTGCGCCGAAGCCAGCAAGACTACCTCAACACCCACCTGGTCTGTTTGAGGAGCAACTGATGAGGAACTTTCCCTCGAGGGAGGATTTGAGCAGGGAACAGCAGATGCCACCTCCTGGAATGCCCGAGCCGAGGAGACAGCAACAGCAGCAACAGCAGCGTGCGCCGCCGGGCTTCTACGATGAGAGGGAGATTCTGATGCAGCAGCAGTTGTTGCAACAGCAGCAGATGAGACGCAACTTTGGTGGTGGTGATGGACCGCAGCAGATGCCACCTCAGCCACAGGTATTCCGCAAGCCCCAGCCACCACCTCAGCATTACCAAGGAGGTGTTGGAGAGTATCACATCACTTCCCCAAGCCTGGGTGGACCACCACCTGGTTTCCCAAACATCCCTCCGCAGCAGCTTCAGCATGGTATGCCGAGACATCCTCCTGGTTTCGGTGGTCAGCCACCTCAGCAACATCCCACTGCACACTTCCCCCAACAGAGGGAGCAGCCACCTCCTGGATCCATGCCGCCTGGTTTTGGGCCACCTGCTGGTGCACCTCCCGGATTCTACGGTGCGGGACCTCCTCCTCCTGGGTTTGGAGGTGCGGGTATGRGAGGCGGTATGGATGGGATGCCGCCGCAGGTGCCGCCTGGTATGAGGGGTAGACCTAGTGGTCAGTTTGACGGGTATGGTGAGGCGAGACGAGGATAGACTTCTTCTTTAAGAGTTGCAGGTTGTGTGTTGTGTGTGGAGGTGGGATGCGGTGGACAGTGGAAGACGTGTTGTCATCATTCATCCATTCATTGCAGGATGGGGACAGACTGAGAGCATCCAATGATGACCATCTCAAGGGATCTCGAGGATAGGAGCGTCCGTGTTTGGCTTGCAGTTGTTTGTTAAGGAAGATGATGAGCAGCGAGGAGCGTGGAGCGTGGAGCATGCAAGCGACATTTGATTGATTGACGACGAAAAGTCTCAAAGCAAAGAGAGATCTTGTCTGTGTACTATGGAGGTCCACTCGACTCCCTCTGATTGACTGGTTTGAGTTGTTGTTGTTCTATAGCGAGCGGAAAAATGTTTTTTGATGTGTGTGTGTGTGTGTGTGACCGAGATTGAGATCGAGGATTCCTGTTCCTATGCCATGGCGAAGTCTCTCATGACTTACGTGTTCTTTTGGTCATTATGAATCATATTCCTGATACATAGAAATGTTCTAAGTGTGATAAGTCGTCTGCCAGTCTGAAATAAAGGTGAGGAGAGTCTGTTCTTGACTTACCCTACGAGATTTCCCCTCCGCGATCTACTGACTTCGCTCTGTAGTATATAAGGCTTTGGGACACTCGGTTAGGGAGGTCTTGACGGATAATCTTAGTATCAGAGAGATACCCCAACCCTAACCCTATAGAATGCACACTACAGACCTAATTAGAAGATATTGATTGGTAAGGGAGAGATGTTCTTTCAAACAACATCCATTAAGGAAGATCCCTCGCCGAATGCATTCACATTAAATATGTGGGTGATATTCCATCCTTCGAGTTCATAAAATCATCATGACTTTCACAATTCAAACATTACTGATATATCCCCTCCCCTCCTCCCTTCTCCAGATACCTAGACCCAAAGCTATAACGTCCCTTTTCAACAACACTCTATTGCGCTCAAGCCGGTTACATCCAATCTAACAATCGCCTGACCCTGGCTGCTGCATAAGCGAGGTTTGGAACCAAGGTCTTGCAATCCATCCGCACGAAGCGGAAATGGATCCGTTTGCGAGATGGAGGTACGCTGGATGCAACCAGATGGATTTGCATAATGGAGCTTTGCTGGAAGTGATTGATTCTTGTTCGGTAGGATAGGAGGCCTGTTGTGGCAGTCCAATCACATCGGGAGATGTTGCTGATTCGGACTCCGTGCGCTGCTGTGGGATTCTGGACTTTGTTCCTTTTTGGCAGGGACTTTTATATCGCCAATCGGGGCTCGTTCTTCTCAGTTTGAGTCTGACCAGGAAGGATGTAGAAGGTTTCCATTCGTCCAGATAGTGGCGGAGCATCTTCAAGGGTATCATTCACTGATCGACAAAAGCCGGATGAAAATATCCCCTCACCCAGGTTTTTTACTCAATCTCTCCAGCCCAACCTCAGCAACCAAAGCCTCCATCTGCGGCACCAACTCGGGAATACGAAAAGGTTTCGTAACAACCTGATCCATACCGGCCTCAATAGCAAAATGAATCTGCTCCGACCTCGCATTAGCCGTGACGGCAATAACAGGCACATGGCCAAAAATTTCCCCGGCTTTCTGTCGTTGTCGAATATGTCGTATGCAAGTCAATCCGTCCATGGTCGGCATTTCCAGATCCAGTAATACAATGGAGAGGGGTGTGGTTTGGCCACAGAAGGAGGAATTTTGGAGGAATTCTAGACATTCTAGGCCGTGGTTCGCGAGGTGGACGACGCAGCCTGCGCGGCGGAGTTGTTGGGACATTACTTTTTGATCTGGGATATCATGTTAGTAATGGAAGTTAATGAAGGAGGGGTGGATGGAGAGGACTCACTGATGGTGTTATCCTCAACAATCAACACATGCAACTGCTGCTCGTGTTCGTGTGAGGTTTTCCTCTTCTCCTCCAACATCCTCGTACCCTCTTGTGCAATCTCTCTCACCTCCTCATGAAGAGTGTCCATCTCCTGAGCAGAAGGAGAAGGACTCCTCTGCGAATTCCTCCTGGAAAGGGGACGAAAACTCTCCAACAGCGTCCCATCAGTCAACAACTGCTCGACCATTTGCCCATCAACCCCTTCAGCCGGCAACACCGCGCTCCCTCGTCGAGAAAAGACCATGGGACTCACAGCCGCACTAACCTCGACCCCTTTCCCCAAATCCTTCACCAGCACCTCCTCAGGCACCCACCTCTTAGCCTTGACATAAAACGTAAAAACCGTCTGCCCATCCCCACTCGCCACCCCAATCTGTCCTCCTTGTAACTCACACAACTCCCTGGAAATAAACAACCCCAACCCACTCCCTCCATACTGTTTATAAGTCTTGGGACTAGCCTGTTGAAACCTCCCAAAAAGTACCTTCATCTCCTCATCATCCAACCCCTTCCCCGTATCATAAACCGCAATTTGAATATAAATATCCTCTCCATGTCCCCACTCCGGAGCAGGAGTTCGACAAGGACGATTATACCTCTGCGGCACAAAATTAATCCCATGATGCTGTCCCGTGGGTTTCTGATAACTCGCCCCGACACACAATCGAATTTTGCGGATTTCGGAGTATTGCGTGAATTTTATACTGTTGGTTAATAAATTGATCATGATTTGTAGCAGGCGGGACGGGTCGAGAATCACCCAGTCGACGTGTAGGGCTTCGTAGGTGGGTTCGATGCAGAGKGTTGCTTCGATTCCTGCCCGGTCGATTTCCGCTTCGTACATTTTGAGGGCTTTTTTGATGAGTGCTGGGGCTTGGACTTTGTCGGGGGAGATTACGAGGAGGGAGGCGTCGAGTTTGGAGAGGGTGAGGATGTCGTCGACGATTCCTGGAAATTACACATTATAGAGTTAGTGTGTTTCTTCTTGAAGGAAGTATTCATATAACTCACGCTTTTGATGCTGTCCGCAGAGAATGATGGTCTGTGCTGCATCGATCAAGTCCTCGGTGACGGCCGCACTCAAAATGACCTGCTCATTCAAGATCGGTGCATCACCCGAGAGCGTACTGACGATGGAATCCGCAGACTGCAGAATGGCAGAGAGAGGATTCCTCATTTCATGACTTGTCATGTCAATCTATCCAGTCATTTTATATCAGCAGTCATTCATTGGGGAAGGATTTGTTTGACCTACAAAATTCTCCGTCTGTCGTTTATTCTCCAAAGCATCCTCAAGTCTCTGCGCTTGGATTCTCTCGGAGAACTTTCTGTGTGAAATATCATAAACCCATCCTTGAACAGTACTTACAGACCCATCAGGATCAATCTCGGGGAAAGCTGTGGATTGCACCCAGTGCTCGCCCGAAAGTTCTTGCCCGGTAGATCTATCGATTGACTTCCACGTCTTCTTCAATCGATACTCGAGGGAAACAGGCACCTTTTCATTTGTGACTCGGTCCCACGCAGCGATGAAGCGGTCACTGTGTTGTGTTGTCAGCGAGATAAAAGCCCGTCTCCTGGTAGAAGAACGAACTTACATGTCTTCATCATGAATCACTCCCTCCCAAGCACCGGCATGCGGCCTGCCAATAATAGCATGCGTCTCTCGACTGACTCCCAGCAATTCCAGATATGCGTCGTTGGCATACAATGGCTTCCCATCCTTGACACAGAACATGTACATGCCAATCGGGGAGGAAGCGGCCATACGTGAGAACTTGGCCTCGCTCTTCTCCGCTTGAAGAGTGTACAGTCGAAGCTGCTGGGTAAGAGAGGTGGTGATCWCATCGGAAACAGCTTGTGCTCTTCGTTGTTCGTCCGGGAGGGAGATCAAAGCTGCAGCCTTTTCGACAATCTCCGCGTTGATGTTGAGGAAGAGTTGGTAGGATGAATTGAGAGGAGTCCTTGGAGCGACGCCGGTAATGAGAACTCCTAGAACATCATCTCCCGCAGATCGTAGTGGAGATACCAGTGCAGTACGGATTGCATCTCCGTAGCTGCGAGATGGGATGGGAATGGAGAGCCAAGATGGTAGAGTTCCGTCTTGCGTGCGAATGTATTTGGCAGTCCGGGTTTCCCACGCCTCGGAGCAGTGATGGACGAGATCAACAGTGTCACTTTCCATCACAGGTAGCGAGATCATGTCGAATAGATTGGGGTCTTCGTCTGAGATACCCACGGTTCCGGCGAGGACGAGCTTCTTTGGATGATTGGTGGTTGATTGTGACTCGCACGTCGATGATCTGCTCTCGTCCTCTCGTTCCGGTACATCATCAACAACAGCGTAGAGAATGGCGAATGGGATGTCGACTTCCGCATCTTCCATGCTTTCCAGTACTGCCGTCCACAGATCCGGCAGCGTATCGGCCTTTTTGATCTGGTTGCTCAAGTTGTTGACACTAATTCTCCTCCGATCATCCGTCACTTGCGCCGAAACTTCTGTAAACTCATCGACAAGTCCCACTCCATTTCCCGTGGCAGGATCAATGATTGGCACCAGGCAAAAGTTCCAAAACGTCTCTTCCGGAAAACCGTGGCGTTCCAGAAACATGGGACAATTGGTGAGTTTGGTGGAATATCCATTGTACGCCGCTTCGATCATGGGCTGCACATCCTCCCAGAGTTCCGCCCACGCATCCACAACCGACTGACCCAATACTTGAGGGTGCTTGGCCCCGAAGACTTCAATACACGCTTCGTTGTAGATGAAGGTCATGCCCTCGCCGAAGATGAGCAGGCGCGGATCCGGATCCGACATGATGTGAAGGCAGTATTGGCGGAGAAGGGGCGACCATGAATGCATCGGTCCGATGGCAGTGGCAGCCCAGTCATGATTGCGAATCAAGTCGATCCAAGGAGAAGCATTCTTGATGGCATGTCTGGTCCAATCGAGGGAATCCTCGTTCATCATCACATCGTCATTGGCCATCTGTTCTGTATGTCCATTCCGCTGTTCMGGTGTATTTCCTACTGGCAGCAGCATAGAAGCCACACAATGCCGATGGGATATGACTCTCAGCCTCCATCTTCGCCCCTCCAAAACCCGACCATGCAGCAAAGCCAGATCTTGCTCTGGCGAATGTGTCCGCTTCAATGCCTCTTTCAATCCCCCCAGCTCTTGATCCACACCCTCCAGCTCCTCAAAAGCAGCGTTCAAGTATATCTCTTGCCATCCCTCATCCGACGTGACACGGAAAATGGCCGTAGCCGCGGCCTCGAGGGACAGGTAGGCCAGTAATGCGCCCAGCTCTTTCTGCTCGTCCACGTCCATTCCCATCGCCCCTTTCTCGAGACACCATCACCTCCAGACACGCATGATATTAGATATTCAACGAGGACATGTACAGAGAGGGACGCAGAATCAACAAAAGCAGCACAAAAGATAACGCGGTTGAGCGCGGGTATGACTACGCGAAGCTAGGTACTGTCGTAATTGGGTGAGACGAGAATCTAGGCTTCTGTGGATAAATGGCCCTCGGTCAGSCACTCCACCACTTTCACACGCCTCTTCTTTGCGGGAAGCTCAATCGGCATTTTCCAGTCGATGTCTTTTATGTGTACTGATACGCTCTACCACTTTCAACAACACGCACGCCATTCCTTCAACAAGGCAGGACGATCCATGGCACGGGCGAATCTTCGACATGGACACTCGACGCCAGTCCGGGGAACCTGGCGCCGATCATATTGTGTGTGTGGGTAATCGGTCCGAAGTCCGCGCCGATCAATCCACTCACACTTTGCACATTTCCATGTGATATACCCCGATGGATGACACAAAGAATGAACAATACCTTCAACTGAGAGGAACTTCAAAAGGCAAGTCCTGGTGCTCATTATATTGCTTCGTTTTGAATCAGTTCCCGCCACAAAATCGACTAAATCTTCGGACATGCTCCCCCCCATTTGCTACCCGATGCACGTCAAAATCTCATCCACCGTCCAATACAGCAGAGCCCAATCAGCAATGCTCTTCTCATCCATTTGGGAGAAGAGATTGACATATATATTGATGAGAGAACACCCTGGAAATTTCCATTGAGATGCTGCGTCTACCCCTTCATGCACTTTCCGCATTTTCATACCTTCGCCCATCACTTCATTTGACATCTCCGAGAAAAACAGCATCAACACTTAACATGATACGACAGTCCAGCCAAGCAAGCAAGCAATCAGCGGTCCTTGTGACGCAACCAAAGCCGGAAACATCTCCCCCCTGCGAAGCTATTCCATGCCCCACCGCAGTGAAAAGTACCCCTCATCATCAGTATAAGAAAGTCATCATTGAACCCATCCGTCCTCAAACATCTCCCAACATAAACAACCAAAAAAACCCAGACCCCTTCTTCATCATCCACCATGTCCTCCACCCTCAAACCCCTAACCCTGCACGCCCACAGCACAGGACCCAACCCCTACAAAATCGCCGCGGCCCTCGAATTCCTCTCCATCCCCTACACCGTCAAACTCTGGCAATTCGGCGAGGGCCCCAACGGCGTCAAAGGTCCCAACTTCCTCCCCATCAACCCCAATGGTCGAGTCCCCGCCGTCGAAGACCCCAATACAGGCGTCACGAGTTGGGAAAGTGGAGCGATCATGAACTACATCTTGCGAGTCTATGATAAAGAGAATAAATTGGGTCCTAGGGGAACTTCGGAACAAGATCGCGTGGATTTTGAGAAGTGGGAGTACTTTCTGTTGAGTACTCTTGGGCCAATGATGGTGAGTATTATTCATCCCTCGGCATTGATCAATCTGAATGGTCCCGCTGATATGTCTTTTTTTCACTCCAAAAGGGCCAAGTCAATTGGTTCACACACTACAACTCCACCAAAAACGAAGATGCTCGGAAACGGTACGAAGTGCAAGCATATCGAAACTTTGAAGTTCTGGATGGCCAGCTCAGTCACGGGGATGGGGATTTCATCTTGCCCGGTGCTACGCCTACTGCTGTGGATTTGCACTTTTATCCCTGGGTGAGGTCGTATGAGTATGCGCAGTTGAGTTTGGAGAGTTATCCGAATGTGAAGAAGTGGGTGGCGGGGATGAAGGAGTTGAAGGAGATTAAGGCTGCTTATGAGAAGATTTCTGAGGGGGAGGCGATGTGATTGTAGAATGCAGAGAAGTACATACTTAGCAAATCAATACATCACATGTCGACTTGAACAAGACAATGACCTACAGGGAGATTTTTACTTATAAGACGCAGCAGATCGAGGGCATTGAATAGGGGGAAAGAGGTTCCGCAAAAACCGCCTTATTACCGTTGTCTGGTCTGGATGCTCAAATCAAGGATGTCCCAGACAAGGTTCTTCATTAAAAGCTGCGATGGGCGACTGGGGTCGTAGGATATGAGCGGTTTGTTGGTCTTCACTCGTTGTTCAAGCATCAAACTATGCCGGGAACCTTTGAGTACGTACCCGTGTACGTATCGACAACATCAGCTCCTATTTTCCCGAAAGCTCGGCATGCCATGGGATGCGTTCCTTCCTGGCCACCGTAAGAACATGTCAATAAGGTCCGTCGCAGATTTGGTGGGCAAGGCGAGTACCATACGCTCCAACGGTTCTACCATACATACCGTCCACTGTCTAGGCTTGATGTCATGACCTGGGAGCCTCGCTCCCTCTGGTTGGTGAAGATGGTGTTTTCAAGGAGTAACGTGCAGCAAAAGCAGACCAAATCAAGATTTCCAGGACAACTTGTGATACTTATCCACCCGGCAACTCTCCATCTTCAATCTCTGGCTCTCGGATGCATCGAGACTACATCTCCTAGCAGATTTGAGGAAGTCACCTGGCTCAGTCTCGCATCCAAGGCCGCATCTCTGACAAAACATTCGCATGTCGTGGATGTAGGGTCCTGGAAATGCGGGTTCTGGTCGACTTACCCGTTACGAGAAGCTTCGCAATGGAAAGCTCCACATTCTGCGGGATGAGCTGGTGTTTGATGTAGTCCCAGTACGAATGGAATGTGGCCTGTCCGGAGCAACAGCCTCGTTGAAATCATACATCAGACAATGAGAACAAAGTACGCCTTCTCAAGCCATGATGGAGAGGAGATTTCAGGAGAGTTAATGTATTCCCGTCGTGTCTGTTGGATGATCATCAGGGATTGCGATCGATTGGGCCACAGCYGCCTCTCACTCGCGATACACCAAGACAAAGGATGAGATGGTGTCCTGTTGACGTTGATGCAATGTAAAGGGAAGGCGGAGGTCTTCGGAGGGCCAGTGTCTAACGGGATGACGGGACGACGGGAACCCCGCGGTCGATCCCGAGAGTTTAGCGGCCGCGTGCCTGGGTGAAGCTAAAAATGATGCCTCACACGACGCGTTGAAGGCAGACGGACAGACGGGATTAATGCTAGACATTTGACAGCCTTTCCACCAGCATTCTCCGCCCCCAATCTCGATATCCGGACCCGTGTCAACCATTCCAAGCAAGCACCTCACCGAACATCCCACCTCTACCGCCAACACCGCCATCACCCGGTACTCCGGCGCAAACGAGCCCAGCGGAGCAAGAAGCAGGATCGGAGGGTTGGGGAAGGGAAAAGAAGGAGCATCATGTCCAACCTGGACAAGCAGATTGAGCAGCTGCGAAGCTGTCGACCCATTCCCGAGCGCGACGTCAAGGAGTTGTGCTTCAAGGCGCGGGAATTGCTGATTGAAGAGGGAAATGTCACCAGCGTGAATGCTCCCGTGACGGTAGGCCGATGTTTGATAAGAAATATGATGGGGAAGAGGCTGACAGTGAGGATTTGGTAGATATGTGGGGACATTCATGGCCAATTCCACGATTTGATGGAGCTGTTCCGTGTTGGTGGCGATGTGCCCGACACGAATTACTTGTTTATGGGTTTGTCTTTCAATCCATCCATCCATATCAACTAACCTCATCAATCTATACAGGCGACTTTGTCGATCGGGGCTTTTATTCGCTGGAATCCTTCCTCCTCCTCTTGTGCCTCAAAGTGCGATATCCCGACCGCATCACCCTCATCCGCGGCAATCACGAATCCCGCCAAATCACCACCGTCTATGGCTTCTACGACGAATGTTTGCGCAAATATGGCAGTGCCAATGTGTGGAGGTAAAGACATCCATCTTGTCAATATCCCAACCATGTCACCACATTCTAACATTCATCGATTGCCTCAGATATTGCTGCGAAGTCTTCGACTATCTCGCCCTGGGAGCGCTGGTCCTCGGCGCCTCCACCGACCTCTCTCCCACCGACGCGGCTTTCGTCGATCCCGCACAAGCAAACTCCGACTCCGAAGATATTGAGATCGAAATCCTCAATTCCCAAGGCAATATCATCAACCGCTTTCCTCGAACCCGAGCCCAAACATCCCAAGACACATCACAACTCTCCAACCCGCAATCATCCCCCTCACAAACACCCGCAGCATCACAAACTGGCGCTCCGGGAACAGGCGCCACCTCCTCCTCGAATGGCTCTTCTGGAAACAACGGTGGCGCCGTCCTCTGCGTACACGGTGGTCTAAGTCCTCTAATCGATAGCATCGACAAGATCCGGCTCTTGGACCGCAAACAAGAAGTTCCCCACGAAGGTGCAATGTGCGATCTCCTCTGGTCGGATCCGGATGAAATCGACGGCTGGGGTCTCTCTCCGCGCGGAGCAGGCTTCCTCTTCGGCGCCGACATTGTGAAATGCTTCAACTACAAAAACGACCTCTCCCTCATCTGCAGAGCGCACCAATTGGTGATGGAAGGTTTCAAGGAAATGTTCGATTCCACCATCGTGACCGTCTGGTCGGCGCCGAATTATTGCTACCGATGTGGGAATGTGGCAGCGATATTGGAGTTGGGCGAGGATGAGGGTGGCGGGTATGGGAGAGCGAGTAATGGGGATCAGGGAAGGACGGGAGCTACCGGAGAGCAGAGAGTCGGGCCTGGGAGGAGGTATAGAGTGTTCGAGGCCGCGCCGCAGGATTCTAGGGGTATGCCTAGTAAGAAGCCCGTGGCGGATTACTTTTTGTGAGGGACACTCAGTCGGCTGGACTTCAGGAACTGGAGGTGGCTGCTAATGGGCAGTACGGCATGAAAGTATGACGATGAGATGAGATGAGATGAGACGAGATAAGGCGTTGCGGGCTGTATTTTCTGTTCAGTGAAGAAGTAAGTAAGTTAAATACCCATGCATAGTTCAAAAGTGTGCTGTATATCAACCAATCAATCACCCATCGTACGGATAGAATCAATGCATCACATTAATGAATCTCTAACATGTACAGAGCAGATAGGGCATCCACACTCAAAGTCTTATTATAGGAGGTATTGGATGATTCGATCAGCTTCTGGGACTCTGCGTCATCTTGAGTTTCCGCCCTCGCTTTCTAAAGAATGTCTTCAATACTGGCGAGAGCTCCTATCTCCGAACAACCCGGTTCGCCGAGCTAGATCTGGTTGAGTCGACATCTGGAGAAGATGTCATCCGTGAGGAGCTCCTTTTGGTTGGTACACCTTTAAGTTGGACACAAGTCGCATCAATCCATAGAGTCCGCGGACAGTCTCGTAATCGCATGCGTCGAACTACAGCAGCTGAGCTGGCTAGGACTTGAAAGACATGTCCTTCAAGCAGGATTCGTTCCCGAGGATCTGGGTCTCCCCAGGCATACTTTATAAGACAGTCTCGCACATCGGTGTGACCGCTCCGTTGAGATCTCCTAGGGGGAGTACGTGATGTCTTGGATCATCTGCAAACACTGACTCTACAAACATTAGCGGGAACGCCTTCGAGGAGTAGTACAGCGATGTATACGTGCAAGACATGATTCGGTCGAGATTATGTCCCATTCGAAAGGAGGGAGGCTGAGCAACGGGGAAGCTACAATATAGAGAGATCTCTAGCCAAGGACACTGGGAGATCGAGCAAAAGTGGGTTTAAGGCGATCTGCAGGCCAATTGAAGCCGCGAGGCTGTTGTCCATCGAATGCACTTCTATCCTTGATACGTGAAGAGCAGCGTCTCAACAGTGACACGCTGTGATCCAACGCAGACTGACGAGGGAGGTAGATGATGTTGTAGGGAGGTGTAAAGTAAGAAGGGCGGGAGGCTGCCCTATCGTGCTTTGTAAGAGATGAGTAAGAAAAGTGGAGAACGACGACGACGACATCTCGCCTGATAACGCTCTTGTCTCATCTCACACCACCTCATTCCAACAATGGATAAGATCGAAGAGCTCGACGGATTGCCCGTATACACTCCAAGAGATCAGTACCACCAACAATATCGCAGACGAAGTGTTCGACGTAGAGCTCTGCGTTTTATCCTTCTAGCTTGCCTCACCTACATAGCATACACGCAATGGTCGAAAGGCGAAGCCGGCAACCCAAATCTCCTCTCCTTGGAAGAGCTTGATAAAGACTACGCTACCTGTGCAAAGCTTCGATCGACACCTGTCGACCCCAGCGGCCACCGCAACGTCAGTGCTCGATATGTGGACGGCGTGAAGCCAGTTCTCATCCGCAACGCTACTGTCTGGACTGGCGAACCCAATCCCGACACTGAGGATTACTCTTGGACTACCCTGGATGTACTGCTTCGACATGGACTCATCGAGCAAGTCAGCTCCCATATCCCGGATGATGACCTGCCTGAGGAATGTGATCGTGTTGATGCCCACGGCAGACAACTCACTGCAGGAATCATTGACATGCATTCACATACTGGAGTCGACTCTCTGCCTGAATTGCGTGGAAATTCCGACACGAATGAACTTTCCGAGGACGTCACACCTTTTGTTCGAAGCTTGGATGGTTTCAACCCGCTTGATCCGCAGATTCAGGTGGACTCTCTCCTCTATCCTCCACTCGACAAAGCTAACAATCTCAGGTCATCAAATCCGGTGGAGTGACAACCTCTCTCATCCTTCCCGGTAGTGGCAACAACATTGGTGGAGAGGCCTTCGTGATCAAGCATGCTGTCGGAAAGAGTAATGGCAGACCAGAGTTGAGTATTGAGAGTCTGCTGGCTGATCCCGAGAGAAATCATCGATACATCAAAATGGCATGTGGCGAGAATGCCAAAAACGTATATGGTCAGGTGGGCAGAAACTTTGGTCCTTTCAGCCGACTGGGAGAAGCGTGGTATTTCCGTCACGCCTTTGAGCAGGCCGCAGCTCTCAGAGACAGTCAGGATGATTGGTGTGCGGCTGCAGACTCCATCGGACCTCAAAGTATGAGCTCATACTTACCTGCAGACCTCAGGTGGGAGACATTAGCTGCGGTTCTCAGAGGTCAAGTCATGGTAAACACTCACTGCTACACAATCCCAGATCTGGAGTCCTTCATCGGCTACACGAATGAGTTCAAGTTTCCAGTTCGGGCATTCCATCATGCTCACTCGAYCTATCTCATTCCCGAGGTTCTGAAGAGAGCGTATGGCGGTCGTGCACCAGCTGCTGCTTTGTTTGTATGTTTGAACACTGTCAATCCATAAAAACTAGCTAACAACCCCACTCAACTCAGGCGGACAACATGTACTATAAAGCGGAGGCGTATGCGGCGTCGGAGCAAGCTGGAAGGATCCTGTACGATGAAGGCATCACCCCAGTCTACGTCAGCGACAATCCCGTCCTCAACGCCCAGCATGTGGTGTTTGAGGCAGCAAAAGCATATCGTAACTCGCTTCCTTACCATGTCGCCCTGGCCGGAGTGACGAGTGCCTCAGCAGAGCTCCTCGGATTGGGCTCACGGCTTGGCAAAGTCAAGGCTGGTTTCGATGCAGACGTCGTACTGTGGGACTCCGACCCTCTTTCAGTTGGTGCCACTCCTTTGCAGGTCTTCATCGATGGTGTGCCGCAGTTTGAAAAGCCGTTCAATCTTTCAAAGCCTTTGACTGCCCCGCTGGAAATGACAGTCTATCCGACTTTGGAGAAGCAACCATCAAAGTTTGACAATGTCGTCTTTACGGGCGTTTCCAAGGTCCAGCTACCTGGCCATGAGCAGTCGATGGATCTCGATGGCAAGACTGGTCAAGTTGTCATCAAAGGTGGTAGAATCGTGTGCATGGGCGACTGCGAACATGCGATATCGTCAAGCAACAATGTGGTGGCCTTGAAGGACGGGCATCTCGCACCGCCACTCACAGCATTTGGTAGCCTTCTTGGCCTTGAAGAGATCTCGGCCGAAAAGGCCACTTCAGATGGCTCCCTCGGAGAAGGTTCCTTTTCGGCCGCCATTGACGGTCTTCGTTTGGATGGTAAGAACTTGGAAGCAGCTTACTCCCACGGTGTGACTAAAGCAATCACTGCTCCCAAGTTTGGATCGACCGAACATAAGGGTATCAGTGCTGGATTTCGCACCGGCGCAAAGCATTCTCTTGATAAGCATGCTGTGTTTGATCCCGCTGTCGCATTGCACTACACATTGACAGCCTCTGCGAAACAAGGAAAGACACCCACAACATCCAGTGCGATTGCGGAGCTGCGAGCAAAGCTTCTTGGGGCACTTTCCGGCAAAAAAGCAGAGGAAGAGCCTTCGGCCGAGCAAGTTGCGCTGACAAAAGTTATGAACGGCAGTCTTCCACTTGTAATCAATGTGCACTCTGCTGACACCATCGCCTCTTTGCTGCGCTTGAAAGAAGAAATGTCCACAGCCATTGAAGCAAGCAAATCGTCTGCAGACTTACGCCTGGTATTGTTCGGTGGTGCGGAATCTTGGATGCTGGCAGAAGAACTCCACAATGCCAACGTCTCCGTTATTTTATCTCCTCTCTTCAGCTACGCAACGACCTRGGATGAACGCCGAGCTCTAACCGGAGCCCCACTCACCAACGGGACAGCCATTGATATTTTACATGCAGCTGGTGTAAAAGTCGCCATTGGCGTTGGCGAGGACTGGGAAGCTCGGGATCTTTTCTTACAGGCTGGAATCGTGCATGCGAACAGTGCGGGGAAGATCAATGAGAAGGAGGCTTTGGCTTTGGCTTCGAGTAATCTCTATGATATTCTTGGAATTGAAGAGGGCAAAGGGGAGGAATTGGAGGAGTTTGTGGTTTTTGAGGGGAATCCGTTGACTATTGGTGGGCAGATCAGAGCTGTTGCTGATGGAAGTGGTGGTGTGCAGATTTGGTCTTGATCAAAATAGACACAGCAATACATAGCGTTATAGAGAGAAATGATCAGAGGTGATGCAACCTTTTTGTCGACAATGTGTGTGTTTGCAAGCGCTGCTAGAGTGAATCATTGGCCCAATCCAATGGGGTTTCATACAATCCATGAGCTTTGCTACGATCCAATAGGCATCGCAACGCTCCAATAGACATGCACAAAACACTCTCGGCTCCTAGAAATGAATGCCGGATTGCCATGTGAGTCGTGTTCCCTCAGATACTACCGTGGTCACCCTCGATCAAATTGCTGCTTAAATTCAAAATTTGTTCCAACGACAATGTCGACAGGACGAATAACACTTCAATGACACCTACATGTGTCTCTCAACGTGATCTTCAAGCTTCTGAGCTGTCCGCTGTACTGCTTCTTACATTAACGGAGTTTTTTTCCAGCGACGCTTATCCACCCCGGATGGCGATGATTCATTTCAACGAGGCGACCTACAATTCAACCGAAGTTGTACATGCCTCTTCGGATCCTCGTGAAGCTGCTAAGATGCTCGTTGTGATGTTCCTTACATTAATGAGTTTTTTTTTTCTAATTTCGMCTGTTCTCCCTAACGGCGATGATTCATTATAACGAGGGAGATAACACCTCAATCGACGTTCGATATGCCTCTTAGGATCCTCGTGGAGCTGCTCAGGGGTTCGTTGTATTGTTTCCTACATTAATTGAGTTTTTTTCTAGCGACGCTTGTTTGCCTCAATGGCGAGAATCCATTACAACGTGGGATATAACACCTCAACCGACCTTCCCTATGTATCTTTGGATCCCCGCGGAGCTGCTGAGGTGTTGATTGCGATGTTCTTGTATCAATGGTTCTTTTTATATCCTATATTCATGTTTCGCTCCGATGGTGATAAATGATGTTAACAGGGCAACTTACATTTCAATGAAACTTCTATATGCTTCTTCAGATCCTTGCGGAGCTGTTCAAATGCTCGCTATATCGTTCTTACGTCAATGGTTCGTTTTTCCCTCTAAGACTCACAACCCGCTCAAAAGTTGATATTCGATGCAATGTGAAGAATATCACTACGATGAGACTTGTATAGGCCTCTTCGGACACTCGCCGAGCTGTTTAGATGCTCGCCATATTGTTTTCACGCCAATGGTTCGATCTCACCCCTGAGACTTATAATGCGTATAAAAGTTGATATTCGATGTAATAGGAAGAATATCAATATAGTCGAGCTTGTATATGCATTTTCGAAGCCTTACGAAGCTTCTCGGATGTTCGTTATATCGTTCTCGTATCGATAGCTCGTTTTTATCTCTAAGACTTAAAATTCGCTAGAAAGTTTATATATCGATATAACGGGAAGAACATCGATATAGTCGAACTTGTATAAGCTTTTCCGGGTCCTTACGAAGCTTCTCGGGTGTTTAGTATACTATTCTCGTATCGATAGCTCGTTTTTATCTCTAAGATTCGCGGTCCCCCGAAAGTTAATAATCGATGCTAATAAGCAAAATATTAGTATAGTCGTAATTGTCTAGGTCTTTTTAGATCGGTATCTAGTAGTTCTAATGTTCGTTATATCGTTTTCTATATTAGTAGCTCGCTTTTTCGGTTAACTCGATATTTTACTCTAATATTAATAGTCGGTATTTATAGAGGAACTAATAGTATAACTGTACTTCCCTAAGCTTCTTTAGACCCGTATTAATCTATTCGGATGTTAGCTATATCGTATTCTATATTATTATATCGTTATTTACATTAAATGCTCGATCTAATAGTCCCGACTAAAATACTAAGAGCTCCTCCTAAAGAACGCTATACTACTATAACTATACTCTTATATACTTATTTAAGGTCTCTTTAAGCTATTATAGTGTTATCTATATCGCTATTATATATAAATACTTCGTTTTACCGCTAATAAATCTTAGCCCCTAAATTTGCTCGATTAGCATATCTTACCCCTCGTAACTAGTATATCGCTATACTCGGGGTTAGAGAAGTAATTTTAAACATATAGCTTACTTATCCTACTATTATTATATCCTTATATCGTATAAGAGTCTACCGAATCCGTTTTGTTCCGTAACCCCTAAATTTCCCCCTACTAGTATTTCTAGACTCGAGTACTTAGTATAGCGATATATCTAGGGGTAGAAACGTTTTTCCTAACATCTAAAATGCTTGTCCTAGTATCGTTATAGCGTTATATCGTATCGGAGTACATTAGATTCGTATTTAGTCTTTATCCTCTAAATTCGCGTTCTTAATATTTCCTAGCTCTAGAGATAAGTATATTAATATACCCGGAAGTAGGGAGGTTTCTTTTAATACCTAAAATATAAATCCTAGCGTAATTATAGCCTTTTACCGCACTAGTTTGCTTTATTCGTATTAATACCTTCGAATCGAATGTATAATCTATTAGCCGTTCGTAGGCTTTAGTAATCGATAAGGCGCTATAGTCGAGGGTAGAAATATAAGTTTTAACGCTTAAAAAACAAATTCTAGCGTCGTTAAAACGTTACTATATATAGGTAAGCTTTATTCGTAAAAAGTAGCCTAGCCGAGTCGATTCGATATATCTACGATATTTCATTTTAACGATTAGCGAAGCGATATAGTCGAGGGTAGAAACATTCCTTTTTATGCTTAAAATACATATTCTAGCGTCGTTATAGCGTTATTATATATAGGCGAGCTTTATTCGTATTAGTATAGTCTAGTTAGATCGACTCGATCTATCTATAATATTTCGTTCTAACGGTTAATAAAGCGCTACGCTCGGGGCTAGAGATATTCTTTTAAACACTTTAGAAGGTTATCTAAGCGTAGCTATCGCGATATATAGCTACTCTTTCGCTTATTCGCATTAGTGTAGTATAGTCGGCTCGACTCGATACATCTATAATATATCGTTATAACGGTCGACGAAACGCTACGTTCGGGGTTAGAGATGTTTATTTAAATACTTAGGAAGGTTATTAAAGTGTCGCTATATCGATATATAGCTTTATATCTGCTTAATCTAGCATTAACTCTCTCTTATTACGGTTTCGATTTATCTATAATATATCGTTATTATTAAAACCTAACAGGTTAAGAAAGGGAAGAGAGCTTAGAGTAGAATCTACTCTAAGGTGATTCCCTAGTTAGGTAATTAGGATGCTAAGGCCAAAGGCACATACTTATTCTTAATATTTAGTTCTTAAGATAATTAATTTAATTAATATACTTGTTTTGTTCCTACTTTAAGTGCTATACACCTTATAATAAATTAGTTTAAGATTAGAGTCTCTTATCTCACCCTTTGCCGCTGCATCCTATTACCTCTCTAGCCTCTAGATTTGGATTTTTAGTTAGACAATTTAATAGGTTATAAGCCCGGGTTTTACTAAACTAAAGGAAAGAACTTTAACCCTAAAGTAGTAAAGGTATTCCCTACCTTATACTAGTATATAAAAAGAGGAAAGAGAATTTTAGATCCTCCTATACTACCCTATAAGAGATACTAAGGATTAGTATATAGATAAGCTAGGAAGAAAATCTAAAAGGATAAGGGTCTAAAGCTATAAAATAGTTAAGGCCTATTTGTTAAAGCCTATACTAATATACATTCTCCTCCTCTACTACTAAAAGCCTTAGTAGGACTAAGCTAAATAAAAGAAAATTTTTTATTTTATAAAGATAGAGGATAATAAGAACATAACCTTCTAAGCTAGGATTCTAATTCTAGGAAGGGAGAACTAGAAGAGATAGTTTAATCTCTAGAAGGATAATCTAGAAGGGAAAGGTGTCTTTAATACTATTAAGTTAATAATAATAGTTAATAAAGGAAAGATTACTATAYAGCTAAAGAAAGACTAGCTAGGAATTATAGYATAAGATTTAAGCTTTAGTAAGAGYAATATAAAATGCAGATATAAACTAAGATTAAGGATTAGTTTAGATAATRYAGATAAGCTYTAAGCTAATTTAGCTTTACCYTATACTACTAARATATAGATCTTCCTACTTTTAAAGTATAGTAAGGTTCTAACTACYTATATAATAGTTATAGTTTAGGAACTTATTAATTTTAGAATAATAGATAATAATTTAGTTAGATTAGCCTAGAGTAAAATTAGTTAGATAGCTAAAAGAATTGTAGAAGTTAATCTAAAGGAGGCTTACTATAAAGACCCCTATAGGAAAGCTAGGATCCTCCTCTTAGCCCTTCTACTAAGATTTAAGGCAACTAAGAATACTATTATAGCCTAACTACTTCTTAAAGGAGATTATAAATAGATTCTTTTAATTCTAGAGTTATAAGAGGCTAGGGACAATTCCTTAGAGATTATAATAGCTGTATTTAACCTTACCTATTTCCTATATAAAGGAAAACATAGAATTAAGGAATGCCTAGACCTTTAAAAGGCCTAGAAGGTAATTAGATCTCTATCCTAAGGTAACACTTACTAGTAATTAAATGCTAATAGGCTAAGATAGGTCTAGAGATTTAATAAGAAATTTTCTAAGAAGCCTTAAGGGCTAAGAAAAGATTCTCTAGAAGATCTAAGAAAGGTAGTTAATTCTATTATTAAGGAGATAAGAAAAGTTAGAAGAACATCTARAGAGAGAGCTTATTAAGCTAAGGATATTACTAGCTTAGAAGCATTATCTTCCTACTTATTAGACAAAGAGGAAGTAGATAAAATTGCCTACTTCTTAATTAATACAAAAGGCAAGTTATTATCCTAAGAATAGCTTCTTAATTCCTATATATTAGCCTATATAACTAACTAGCTACAACTTTTTAGATCTATAAAACCTCTTTCTAAAAGGAGGTAGATTAAGGTTAGAGGAGGTWACCTTTAGGGAAGTTATATARGGGAGGCTCTAATAGAAGGAAARAATARAGGAAAAGTTTTRCTTAAAAATACKCTTCTAGTTCCTAGTCTTAGAGTTAACCTTATCTCCTAGAATTAGTTTAGTTATTAGTTTAGTGTTTAACTACTATA